GCCGGGGTGCCGGCGACGCAGGAGGCCACTTTCCGTTGTCCATGCTGTGTGCGTGGTGTCTTGCTCACCCAGTTTCTGTTGGAAGGGAAGAGGGAGAACAGCTCTTTCCGTGTTCTGTCTCAACACCCTGCACCCCCATTTCTACAGGGTTTAAACATCCAGCTGAAAGGGCCATGAGCTGAGGCTGGAGCGATAGCACGGCGGGGAGGGCGTTGGCCTTGCACGCGGCCGACCCGGGTTCGATCCCCGGCATCCCCTAGGGTCCCCCGAGCACCGCCAGGAGGGATTCCTGAGTGCAGAGCCGGGAGTCAGCCCTGAGCACCGCCGGGTGGGACCCAAAGAGAAAAAAAGGAAAAGAGGGTCCATGGGCTGATCCTCTGAACACATGCCTTTAGCATTGCCTCAGCCACCAGCAGCTGCTGTGAGCTTGCCCAGGCCACCGGGTGGGGTGACTGTCCTCTGTCGGTCGGAATTGGCTTCTCCTCATTCCCCTTTTCCACCTTTAGGCTCCCCCTTTCTTTTTTCCACAGCTGAAGGATAAGACATTCATCATCCCAGTCCCTTTGCAGTGACACTCCCACAGCCCTTTTGTCATGGGGTATGGGTAGTGGGGCGTGCCGTGGGTGTGGGGCTCCCATGCAGGTCAGGGCAGACCGGGGAAGCTAGGCTGGACCCCTCTTGAGAGCTCCCAGAACCTTCTTGCTGCTACAGAATCACCTGTGTTCCTTTCTGTGTCACCGCCAGAAGGCTTGATCCGAGTCGATGCAGCTTAGCGCAAGGCCATCCTCGAGAGCCTTTGGCTCCAAGGTTGGGTGACCGCTGCAGGGTCACCACGGGCGCCATCTGTTGACGCAGTTTATTGGGTGCGTTACCTTGATTCAAGGTTTTAAGTTGAAGAGCTTGTCTGTAACTGAGGAAGAGACTTTAAGTGTCCCCTTCTGCTTTTCATTTGAAAATAATTTCAAACAGGAATGCCCTAAGTATAGCAAAGATAAATTCTTTCATATCCTTGAAACAAATTCACCAAGTTTTTTTTTTTAACATTTTGCTCCATTTCTTTATCATATACTTATTTCTCATACATGTTCTTTTCTTATGAACTATTTAAGGTTCATTTTCAAACACCTTGGACCTATTTTCCTCAATACTTCTGTTGTATTTATTTTTGTTTGCTGTTGTTTTGAGGGGTCCTATGGAGGCCTTAGAAGCCCCTGCTGGCCATGGGGACCACGCGGTACCAGCGACAGAACTTGGGCCTCCTGAGTGCCGAGCCCGCTGAGCCGTCTAACTCTTGCTCCTGACTTGTATTTTGTAAGGAACAAGAATTGTTGTGAGGACACGGCGTAATAACCAGTGCCTGGAGTCCACTCCGTGCTTGAGAATCACCCGGCAAGAAGCCTTGCAGCGTTCCCTGAGCTCCAGGGCAAGGCCTTGTGTTGTTTTGGGGTTTGGGGGCCACACCTGGTAGTGCTCAGGGATCACTCCCGGCGGGCTTGGGGATCACGTGGCGAGCACCCTGCCTGCTGTCCTAGATCTGCCCAGGCTTGAACACTTCGTGGGTGTTCTAAGCCGTTCCGTTTTCCTCCCGCCTCGCCTCTCTCTTCCTCTTGCTACCCGAATGCGGCTGGTCCTTGGCTACTCTGGAATCTGTGCTCTGACCCCAGACCTGCCCGCCTCCATCCTGCCTGCAGGGTGTTTCTGTCCTTGCTGCGCGCTGACTGCCGCGGGGCCTTCCTTGGGCCAGTCTGAGTTCAGGGCACGCTGTGGCCGCCTTGGCAGATGTTTCTGATTCCATCAGGCGGTGTTCATGCTTTAATTGCTACTGTGTGTGGTGGTTTTGTTTATTGTGTTTCGGATGTATAGTATTAGGCCCTAAGTGCACCTTTATGGGCTTGTCATCTCAGAATGGCAAGTGGTCAGAAGGCCCTCAGACCCCAAACACACAAAGAAGTCCTGCCTGAATTCCTAGGGAACCTGTATTTTAGGCCTCAGAGCTTCTCTCTCTACGTTAGACTTCCTTGGCAAATGGTCTTCAGTCTGCTTTCCATGCTGGAGCTGGAATAGGTCTGCAAAGGCACTGTTAGGGACCCTCACACCCCTCCCGCCCACTGATGTTTCTAATAGCGGCTTGAGGGTCTCTCTCACCATAGAAAGGCTTTTCTTTAAAGCCTTGGGTACTTGAAGACCTGCCTGCTACTCCTGCAGATCAGAGTAAATGCAACAACAAGGATCCTGAAAGACTTAAGTGTAGATTGTCCTTTCTTGATTTAAGGTCAAAAGTTTCAGTTCAACTGAAATCTTTAAAGAAGCGCCTTTAAGCCCTGCCTCTCTTCCAGCAGTTTGGTACCTGTCAAAGCACCTTTAGGCCACTCTGGGCCTCAGGCTCAATCATGAAGCAGATGGTCATGGGACCCTTCCTCTCTCCTTGTCTTACTCCTTCTAACTTAGCTTACTTATTCTGAAAGTCACCGTTCTCTTATTTTGGAGGGAAGGGGGCCCACACTTAGTGATGCCTTAGCTCTGAACTCAGGAATTATTCCTGGCGGTGCTCAGGAGACCATATGGGATGGCAGGAATCAAACAGCCCTCCCCGCTGTACTATTACTCCTGCCCTGAAATTCACTCTTCTCACAATATGGAATAGGTACCTTAAATATTTTGAAATAAATAATATGCTTGGAGATGTTCCAGGTTTATAATTTTCTAAGCGATCGAGGGAACAGCCGTGCTGTGAAACAGCTGACTTGATTCTTTTTGTGTGTGTGTGTGTGGCTTGTTTGGGTCATACTCAGTGATGCTCAGACGTTACTCTTTTTTTTTTTTTGGCGAGGGCGGGTGGAGGGACACACCTAGCTGTGCTCAGAGAATCAGGAAACACTCCTGGTGGTGCTCAGGGGCACCATTTGGAAGCTGGGGACTGATTGAACCTGGGTTAGCTCTGTGCAAGGCAAGTTCCCTGCCTGCTGTGCTGTCTCTTCGGCCCCGTACCACAATTTCTTGATTCCTTCGTCTAGATGGGATTTTTTGAAAACATGCGCTCAGTTCCACTAAGAATAAGTGGGATAATTTCAAGTTGAAAATGTGGTGTCTCTTATTCCTTTGAAGGGGGTGGGGACTTGGGCCACCCTCTGCAGTGCTCTGGGGACTGCTCTCCTGATTGTGCTCAGAAGTGATGCTGGTGGTGCCACAGCTTAAACCAGGGTTGGTCACTCGCAAGGCAAGTGCCCTTCCCGCCGACTCTGTCGCCCCAGCCCGGACAGACTGCGATCTTTAGCTGTAGCGTATGAGGTTAATTCTGTTTTGTCCACAGACATTTTTTTTGGTCCGCTTTCCATTTCGTAACTGTTTTTGTTTGTTTTCTAGAGTGTATTTTATAAGATGATCAGATGTCTTTCACATAATATGCCTAGTAATGAAATCATGATCAGTTACTGAGAAGTCAGTTTAATTTGGAACACCTTGTTTGTCAGAAAGTCATTAGTTTGCTGGCCTTGGGAATTTCACAATCTGGCCGAGGATGTGGCTCAGTGGTCCAGCACTTACCTTGCACGGGGAAGACCCTGTTTTTTTTGGTTTTGTTTTTTGTTTATTTTTTGCCCCCGGCACTGCAGAAAACAAAGGACGGGTTTCAGAAGTGACTAAAAGTAGGAATTTGATGTAACACGAGATCGTGGTGGTGTTAGCCCTGTTGAGCAACTCTGCCACCCAGAGGGCTAGGGAAAGCCAGGGTGAAGCAGGCGTTTCGCCGTGGTTAATCAGAGCCCCTCTGTGTGCAAGCACCAGCGGTCTGGAGAGACACAAACAAACGGACACGTTTCTGTCAGGGTGCCAGTGAGTTCCCCATACCTGGTGAGGTGCTGTTACACTCAGCATAAGTACTGTTGACATTGGACATAAGTACACTTATAAGGATCTGTGAAGAATATCTTATGTATTCTTGCTGCACTTTTATAATAATAGATTTTAATAATAGGAACCCAATTTTCACTAACATCACTTTATTTTAATGCCGTTTTAATGAAAAGCAGTCAGAGAAAACGCGGGTCTTCACGGTTATGGTTTGTAAAACCTTGGCATTTATTCCCGGTCTGTGTTACCTCAAAACTTTTATATATTTGAAGAGTCAAGTAGATAAAGGATTATTTCCTATAACAACTAGATTATTTTCCTTAACACTAGGGGGCACTCTTGATCTAGAAACGCCTATTCAGTTTAATTATGCTTAATATGTGGAGTGGAAAAAATAATTTGCAAACTCTTCACTGTGAGTTCAGTGTTAACCTTCAGAGAGAATTTGGATTTTCAAATTCATTCAGTACAGCAGTGAAATATAAGTTAATCCTTGATGTCATACAGTTAATGGGGCGTGTAAAATGAAATGATGTAATTTAGAGAAAATTAAAATATATCTGTGGTGATTCATTTTCTAAATGGGTTTTAAAGCCCATTATTTCTAATATGATTTTCATTTTAAAGTTTGCTCTCAGCAAACTTGCTGGCCATACGTCGAGATGTGAGTTGTCCCCTCGGCTGCTGTGCTCTGTCCTTTTGAGGCGTTTGAAAACCAGAAGCACGTGTGTTTCTTTATGTTTGTGATTAGGACATTGGTGATACTGTGAATAGGCAGGGGTTACCCCTGACACTGTGCTCAGGGGCAGCTCCTGGAAGTGCTCAGGGATCGACCTGGGGACAGCCACAGGCAAGGCAAGTGCCTTCGCCCCTCCTACTGTCTCTCCGGTCCTTCTTCCATTAGTTTCAGAATTCTTTTCATGGCGGGAGCATGCCTCTCCTAATTTGCTGGCGAGAGCATGACCGTGTGCCCGAGCACTGTGTTTCTGGTCGTCGCAGTCATTGGAAGTAGCCCCAGAGTTGTGTCTGCAGGCGGCAGGATGGTTTCCCGGGAGTGAATGAGGCAGGCACTCGTTTGAGCTCAGGGGCCCGGGCTGGGCGTGGTTTGCTCCATCAGGTGCACCTCAGCTGCCGTGTGTTTCTTGCAGGGATGACAATGTCTTTGTGGCCGTGGACGTGAAGCAGTGGCTCCTTCGTGCTGCTCTAGGGACCGATGTCGGAAGCATGGACCTGATGAACGGGCAGGCTGGCAACCCCGGCGTTGCTGCCCCCGCTTCAGAGGTGAGTGCGGGCACTGTGTCCGGCATCCTGTGCTGCTCGGTCATGTAGAAATTAGAACCTGAGGAAGAGGGCTTCACCCTTGTTAGCGTTTTTGTTGTTTTGGGATTGTTTAGGTTATTCTGGTATTGGGGGGGGGGGCACACCCTCTGGCACTTAGAGTTTACTTCTGGTACAGTGCTCAGGTATGTGGTGCCAGGGATTAAACCCAGGTCTGCTGCATGCAGGGCAAGTGCCGTAACCCCAGTGCTAGACCTTTGGCTCTCCTTTCAGTTTTTAGAGACAACGTGAGAAGTGGGTTGGCCCTGATGAGTGACGCGTGACCGTCCCATCCAGAAGCGTGGCAGAGCAAATGTCCAGATGAACTGGGGAAGTGGGGCAGTGGCATGGCACTTGCCTGGGTGAGACCGGGGGTCCATCCCTGGCACTGCCAAAAAGTTTGAGCTATTTCTTTTTTGTCTCTCTTCTGCTAGATAGGATGGGAGTAATTGGGAGTAATGTTTATGGCTGCCAGGAAGCTTCCAGCCTTCCTGCCCTGCTCCGTAAACGCTCCCCTCCCGGCCCCCCAGCCAGCTACCACCCTTAGAGTCCACTCCTGCTAATAGCAATATAACCCATCACGGATCATGGTCGCTGTTATTCCCCCGCCCCCGCTGTGATTTTGGCGGTTTCGTTTCTAACTGGCTTTCCTCCTAATCCGTTCGGCATCTGACGAAATCTGTCTGACTTCAGGAGGGAAAAAAATTGGGTCACTTTGCTGCTTGACCACTGTGAAGAAACTTGGCGCCCCCTCTCCCCCCGTTTTTGTTGATAGTGGCAGCATTTCCCTGGCTGCAAAGTTCCGTCCTGGGTTTGTCATTGATTTGCTTCTCCGCACCCCCGTTTTCTCACCCCAGCAGAACAAAGCCAGTCTCTGTCCTTGAGCTTGGGGTGACACCGTCGCCTCTGCCTCCACATTCAGTGGGTGAGACACTCCCCGGGCGTGAGAGGGAAAGGCCTCTGGCGCTTGTCCACGCACTGTGATTCAGTGTGGCTCCCAGGCATCATCCATGGTTACTCCTCACATACATTCGTACATGCACATGTATGCACACGACCCTCAGCCTTGCGTCGAGACTTTCCTCAAAAGGACCCAAAATTCTTCCCTAAAGCTCCTAACTACTCCCTGACATCTACTTGACAATGTACATACTAATAAGATAATAACTACTCGGCTGACATAAACCTCTCGTTTCCCCCACTTCCATTATCATGTTTGCCTGTATCAGTTTTTCGGCTTGGAATGTCTCTTCCCATTCCATTGTGCCTCTTCCTCTCGAAGGAGATTTCCCTGTCTTTCAAATACTTTTTTAAAAATAAATTTTATTAGATCACTGTGAGATTCAGTTACAAACTTTACGATTCTGTTTTAGTCATACAGTGGTCAAGTACCCATCCCTCCACCAGTGCACATTTTCCACTACCACGGATCCCAGTGTCCCTCCCTCATCCCCTCCCATCCCCTCCCTCTGACAGGTACATTTCTTCCTACTCTCTCATTTTGGGCGTTGCGATTTGCAATCCAGATACTAAGAGGCCATCATGCTTAGTCTGTAGTCTACTTTCAGCACATATCTCCCATCCCGAGCGAGCCCTCCAAGCATCATTTACTTGGTGGTCCCTTCTCTATCTCAGCTGCCTTTCCCCTCAGCATGCGAGGTCAAATTCCAAGCCGTGGAGGGATCCTCCTGGCCCTTATCTCTACTATCCCTGGGTGTTAGTCTCCCATTATGTTACTTTATATTTCACAAATGAGTGCAGTCATTCTGTCTGTCCCTCTCTCTCCCCGACTCATTTCACTTACATCCACTTATATGCAAATTTCATGACTTCATCTTTTCTGACAGCCGCATAGTATTCCATTGTGTAGCAGTACCAGGGTTTCTGTAACCAGTCATCTGTCCTCGTGGCCTCCACTCTTTGGGGAGTGCTGCACGCTGCAGTATGCAGGGCCTGCTGCTGGCTCTGTGCTCGGAAGTACGGGGGACTGGGGCGGCGAGGAATCATTCCAGGCAATGCTTGGGGGACCTCGTCATGCAGGGGAATTGAAGCTGGGTTCCAGCCCAGCTCCACAGAAAACAAATGCAGAACGCCCTGCGTTTCAACTCCAGGGAAGACGAGGAAAGATTCCTCCCCAGCAGGAAGAGGGGAAGCCAGCCACGACAGCTCAGGTCTCCTGCTGCTCACTGAGGAAGCCACTTTGCCAGGGGAGCCGACTGCTCCAGCCCCTTCAGCTTCTCTCTCAGGTACACCCCAGGGATAGGCCACACGCACTCCAGGCTCCTTAGGAGTCTGGAGGCCGGCGTTTCTCCCCCGTCCATGGGGCTCTGTCCAGTGAGAAAGGATTTTGTCCCAAGCCAGGCCAGGGAAGGAGGTCAGAGAAGCCCAGAGGTCACAGAGGGACAGAAGTGGCGACTTTCGGGGGCTGGAGAGATAATACGGTGGGTAGGGCACATGGCCAACCTGGGTTCGATCCCTGACACCCCTTACAGTCCCCCGAGCATGGCCAGGAATAATTTCTGAGTGCAGAGCCAGGAGGAACCCCTGAGCATCATCGGGTATGACCCAAACCAAACCAAACCAAAACCACCCCCTGCGATGTTAGTCTAGATCGAAGACACGGGCAGTTCTAGAAACAGCAAAAGCAGCCACAGTCTCAGCTGGATGAACACGCAGCCTCTCCCGACTTCCCGCCGTGCAGATGTGTCCAGCTGTGGGGCGCATTCTGAGGCACCCTCAGTGGCGAGAGACCGTCTGAAGAGACCACGCAGGCTGCATCGAGTGTCTGTGCCGGAGGTGCAGCTGCGGACGGAGCCCCGACTGGACTTGAGCTACTGGGCAGCGTCAGCGCCTGTCCAGCAGCGCCAGGCAGCCCCCAGGCTGAGTGTCGGCCTCTCCTTTCTAACTGTTACAAACTGTTACAATTCAGCTGTAAGATTGCAGGCTCTCCAGTGTCTTCAACTCTTAACTTCTCTTCCCATTGGACAGAAAAGCAGCAGTTCTGAGTCCTTAAGTGACAGAGGTTCTGAGTTGAAGAAAAGCTTTGATGCGGTGGTGTTTGATGTCCTGAAGGTGACGCCGGAAGAGTATGCGGTAAGCGTCCCTCGGCTGTGTGTGCGCGGAATCTGCTCACACATTGCTCCTACCCGAGTCTGAATTCGCAGGCCCAGTGCTTGGGAGGTGGGGCAGGGAACACAGTGTCGGAACGATTGTAGGGGTGAAGCCTGGTGCTAGGCGTGCCCAGTGGTGCTAAGGGGCCCTGCCGTGTTGGAGATCAAATTTGGGCCACCTGTGTTGTAAATCTTGCGTGCTGGCCCAGTGAGCTCGTCCCTTGGCTACCTTTCACCAATGGGGTGTCAGCAGTAGGGCTGCCTCCTGGTCCCTGCAGTTCCTCTCCTGCCACCTCCCCCAACAAGCCATGCTCCACCGACATGTACAGGAAGCGTTTTCCCTCTTGCCGTCCGGACTTGCGTGTACTTGGCCTAGCAGCGCAGTCTTGGTGCATTGTTGCTTTCTGTTTTGCAGTTGCTTTTAGTTTGTCCCTGAAGATGACCTGAGTCATCGCTAGTATAGCCTCATTACTTCATATAAATTCGGGAGATTCTTGAAGCAGTTGAGGAGAGCGGGTTTAATAATCACAACGGAAACACTGCTCCGTGAACCAGTAGAAGATCTGTTTTATTAATCTAATGTGACTGTGTTCAAATTGTTACTTACTATTTGATGAGGAGCTTCCAGGGTCACCTCCCAGCAATCCTCAGCCAATTGGGCCAGATAGTTCAGTGCTTGGACCCAGTGACGTGGGGCTGTGGGGCTGAGAGCAAACTCAGATCTCACCCCAGAGTCATCTCCCGACCTTGGATGTCCGAATCTTTAAATTACTTTTATTTTGCTTCCTAACTTTCTTTCATTTATCTCATAAGAATATATGGTTTGAGATCAGTAGAAATAACCATATTTAATGGTTTGGCCTAGAGTTTTTATTTTCTCCAAGCCCTAACAAATTTAAGATTTTTTTCCTAGTAGAAATGTGAGTATTCCGTGTGTTTCATTTCATCTACACGTGTTTCAGCTATATCTAGTTTAGGACATATGCCACATCATGGAATTCTAAAATAGGAATTTTTTTTTGTATTTTTTAATACAGGGTCAGATAACGCTAATGGATGTTCCAGTATTTAAAGCCATTCAGCCAGATGTGAGTAGTTTTAAGAACTTGTCTTTTAATGAAATACTAAAGTAATGTTTGTAGTATCTCAAATTAAGATATTTAGAAATCAAATTGTGCTGTTTATGAGAGTTACAGACGTTTGACAACTCCAGGTCTGTCCCTTTATCCCTTTATTTTATGGCATAATGATTTTGTTGACATTTGGGGAAGAGAGGACCAAATACGGCATTTCTTGTTTTTAGTAAAAATACCTTTTTTATTTAGGCTGCATGTACCCATAACCCATGTATGAGAGTGTCTGTGTGACTGATAAAACATTTTCAACACAAGAACATGTTGGAGCTGGTTTTCTCACTCTTAAAAACAGCAGCTTTTTCCATTTTTAAGAAGCACGCATGCGGGTGGAATGATAACACAGCAGGTAGGACGTTCTCCACGCTCACCCTCCAGCGTGGATGCCGTTGCAGTCTGGACAGCCTGAACCCCCTAATGATAGTTAAGGGGCTTCATCAGCTGCGGGGACTGGTTGATCATTCCTTCTGTTCGAGGCCTCCCTTCCCGTCCTGGCCGCACCCTCCTAAGAACAGAAGCCACTCTGTCCCCCCGGACGCTGCAGACTGAAGAAGGGCTTGGGGGCTGTGCGTCAGGAACGGGAGCAGAGGCCAAGTGTTAGAACAGAGGATCAGCCTGTGCTCCCGGAAGAAGGCGAGAGTGGAGCCTTGGGCACAGACTTCAAGCCTAAGTGAAATTCAGCCAGGGACCTTGGTGTTCCACCCCCCCGTTTTTTTTTTTCTTTTTGGTTTGCATCCAGCAATGCTCGGGTGGTACTTCCGGCTCTGCACTCAGGAATCACTCCTGGCGGTGCTCAGGGGACCATTTGGGATGCTAAGGATCGAACCTGGGCCAGCCGGGTGCAAGGCAAATACCCTACCCACTGTACTATAGCCCCAGCCCCCAAGGGTGTTCCCTTTTCTAAAAAAAATTTTTATTTATTTTTTTATTAGTGAAACACCACGAGGTACAGTTATAGACTTAACAAATTTTTGTGCTTGGGTTCCAGTTATACAGTGATCAAGTACCCATCCCTCCACCAGCGCCCATCCTCCACCACCACGGGTCCCAGCATCCCTCCTACCCCCCATCCCCCCAGGGTGTTCCCTTTTCATCTCCTTCGGCACGAGGCCCCTTGCTAGCCTCTCGGTATGTCAGCTATGTGCCTCAGCGCTCCTGCACCCAGTCAGGAAGATAGTGTGTGACCTCAGCTGAATTGCGCAGCCCCCGTTCCTGTCCACTCAGTAACCAAGGGGCAGCTTGGCGTGTAAACGGCTCACGGGATCCTTGCGTCTGCTCAAGGCACATCACTGACTTCCTGTTGCTTTTTGGGCAAAACAGCTATCCTAGTACGATCTGAAACAAATCTCTCTGTAATCTTGCCCCTTCTACCTTCCTCTGGGCTCGTCTCCACCTTTCCCACCATTTCTGATCCCGAGAGACTGGCCAGTAAGGCCTGCCCAGTCCTGAGCCTGCAAACGTTCTAGTTCATTCCTACACACCGAAGTGTCTCTGCAGCTTTTCTGGTCTCCCTCCACGCTCTCCTAGCACTAGGTGCTTCTTCATCGAACTTGTCCCTTCAGCGTCATTGCAGTGTTCACTGAGTGTCTGCCAGGCGCCTGGCACGGGCCCAGGGGCTGGGGTCCACAGCCGCCACCACCAAGATCCTGGTTCCTGCCTGCCACAAAGTGGCCGGTGTGTCATGGAAACCATCACAGCTGGAGAGGAGAGAAAGGGCCGATTGGGAGGGCTTTCCCGGGTAGGCACCCCAGCACAGAGCCGGGGAGGGGAGAAGGCAGCCGCGTGGGCATGTGGAGTATCCACTGCTCTGCCCAGGTGACAATTGTTGACTCCTTTTCTGACTTCGGACAACCCTTTTCTGAGTGCTGTGCCCAGGCCTCCTGACTCTGTGCTCAGGGATCACCTCTGGAGGGACTTGGGGGATCATACAGGGGCTAGGGATCGAACCCATGCATTGCAGACGACCCGGTGGAACCCAGGTCATCTGCCCATGCAAAAGCAAGCTGTGTACCAGCCGTTCTTTCTCTCAGGCCCATCACCCTTATTTAGGAGATGGCCTGTTCCCATTTTCTAAAAAAGAAGCCTGTACCGACTTGAACTTTGAAGAATTTCAATTGAGTCCAACCATGTGCATTAATGACTGGAGTTGCGGGTTGCCAGTCGAACCATCCAAGTCTCACACAGGTTTTTGGCAACAGAGGCAATTTCTGGAACGTTGTCAGATATTACTCTTCCCTTGCTTATTTTGTTTCTTCAGTCCAAGGCCTGGATTTTATCTCCGCCTGTTGTGGGCTTGCCGGGAGAAAGGGCTGCTAGCAGGGTGGCTCTTTCTAGATAAAATCTGCTTTTCTCTGCCTCCATCCCAGAGTTATGGAAAAAATTCCCAACCTTTTGTTTCACAATAGAAAGAATCTGCCTTATCTTCGAGCTCCTGGACTTGCATTGTCTAGGGCCTGTCTTTTATCTATCACAGCCTAAGGAGTAGGTCTGAAGCAAGTAGAATGCTGAGCTTGCTTTTTATCCAAGTCATTAAACTAGCACTGTAGCACTGTCCTCCCGTTGGTCATCGATTTCCTCAGCGGGCACCAGTAATGTCTCACAATAAATTGTGACACTTGTTACTGTTTTTGGCATATAAAATATGTCACGGGGAGCTTGCCAGGTTTTGCCATGCGGGCTGGATACTCTTGGTTCCTTGCCGGGCTCTCCGAGAGGGGCAGAAGAATCAAACCCGGGTCAGCTGTGTGCAAGGCAAAATCACCCGATTCTGCCACCTCTGCTATTTGGGGCCTCAGATGCCTTGCCTCCGAGTGTATGTGAGCACCAAGACCCAAAAAACTGTGTGACTGGGAGCTGGCGTGAAAGCAGCGGGGAGGGCTCTTACTTTGCACACGGCCCACCCGGGTTTGATTCCCGGCATCCTTAGGCCCCGAGCCCTGAGTGTGGAGCCAGGAATAACCCCTGAGCACCACAGGTATGGCTCCCAAAGAAAAATGTGTCACCCCTCAAAGTCCACAACCCAGAATGCAGGAGCCCCACATAGCTGAAGAGAACCGAGCCCAGCCCAGCTGGCTCCAAGCCTCGGTGTCCCCCAGCGTCACTGCCACTGGGAAGGGAGGCAAGGGAGGAAAAGAGAAAGGGCAGAGAAGACTGTGAAAAAGCTTTGCTCCGCCCTGTCCGCATCGCATCTAAGTTGCCCTTTTTGAGCTGCTCATACCACATGGAGTGTGGCATGTTGCGTGAACATGTGCGTTAGAGGGAGAGTTCCGGATAGCCACCCCTCTGAGCCCAGGGGAGCCATTTCACTGGGAGCTTGGGGGCTAGTGTGAAATAAGATTCTTTTTTTCAACACCAGATTTTTGGGCCCTTTGCTTCGTACTGTCAGACTCCGAGAAGGATGAAGATTAGATTAGGGCAGTTTCCCCAGATGCCTGGAGGTGACGGTTGTTAGCTCAAAGATGTGGAAAACGGGCTGGAGCAATAGCTCAAAGGGTAGGACGTTTGCCTTGCATGTGGCCAACCCGGGCTCGATTCCCAGCATCCCAGAGGGTCCCCTAAGCACCGCCAGGAGTCATTCCTGAGTGCGTGAGCCAGGAGTAACCCCTATGCATTGCCGGGTGTGACCCAAAAAAAAAGATGTGGAAAACAGACACGGAATGTAGGCATCACAGTGTGTGTTGGGGTGCGCAGCGTCCATTGTCTGTATCTCTCGGGGTTTGCTGCTAATCCTCATTGTCCTGTGGAATATGTCTCATTTTCTGTGGACGAGTCATTTTGCACCCTTAGAGTTAGTTTACTGAGAAAAGATGCTTTTGTGATATAATTGCCAAATCAATATTAGAGACATTCCTATTAAGTACAGAGCTTCTGGGAAGTGACACAGCTGCCTGGAGTGCTTGAAATCATTTTCTGCAATGAGAAAACTTTTTCTTACTGCTCTCTGTTGAATTCCTATTTAATTTCTGACTTCATTTTTCAGGAACTTTCAAGTTGTGGATGGAATAAAAAAGAAAAATACAGTTCTGCCCCAAACGCAGTTGCCTTCACCAGAAGATTTAATCATGTGAGCCGCGTATAAGATTTTCTGGTTAATATTCGAAATTCAGTTCCTCAGAATATAATTGGGGGCTCCCAGACAGTGCTCAGGGGGCCCCAGGGCAGGATGGTTCCTTGCTCATGCCCAGGTGCCAGGTAATTCAGGGGTTAAGGCACTTGCCTCGCATCTCGCCAACCCCATTTCCATTCCTGTCTCTGTTGGTGGCGGTGGGGGGGGGGGGGGCAGGGGAATGAGGAGGAGGGTCACACAGTGTTTGAAGATGGCCTGTGTCTTGGAGGAAGTCAGTCGAATAATTGCATGTTGTTCATCCCGTAGCTCTTGTTGCTATCTTTATCCTAGTGAATAAAGACTCACCATTCAACTCTGTCTCGTTTTCACTTGCAGGTAAGCTTTTGGGTTGTTAGAGAGATTCTTCATGCCCAAACATTAAAAATTAGAGCGGAAGTTCTGAGCCACTATATTAAAACAGCTAAGGTAAGAAAAGTTTGTTTTGGGGGAGGCTGGAACAATAGGACAGCAGGTGGGCATTTGCCTTGCACATGGCGGCCAACCGGATTCCATCCATGGCATCCCATAGGGTCCCCTGAGCACACTGCCAGGAGTGCTCCCTGAGTGCAGAGTCAGGAGTAACCTCTGAACATCGCTGGGTGTGACCCAAAGAGAAAAAATTCATTTGTGTATGACTACTGCTCCCACCGATGAATTCTGATTGATACTGGAAAATATAGACTTGCCATTTATTAAGTAGATTCTTTAAGACAGTGCCTTTTTTTTTCTGTCATCTGTTTTTTCTTTCTTCCCTCTCCCTCTGACTTGCTGAGTTATATGACTGGTTTAACTGAACAAGCTAACAGGACAAGGTGAAATACAGTACTTAAAAATATTGGGCTCTGTAGATGACAGAAAATGCCTTGGAAATTTAGAAGAAAAATAGTTTTAATCAAGTTACTTACTTTTGCAGTGATCACTTAGTAGCCATGTGGTGAATAATGCAACTTTATTTTTCAAGGAATATTGAAGTGAGGATTGGAAGACAGAAATAGTAGTTTCAGCCAGAGAAATGGAACGTGGACTTGAAGGATACTGAGATTTAGAGAGAGTGGAGCAGGGCATTCCGTAGGATGATACCAAGATTTCCTTAAACCAGACTTAACAGATTCTACTTTTATTTTAAGGGGCTGAAAAGATAGATAGCCCAAGGGGCTCATACATATGCTTTGTATGTGAGAGGCTTATTCATTCTCCAGTACCACATGGTCCCTTGAGCACTTCTGGGGGTGATCCCTGAGCAGTGCACCTGCTAGGAGACACCCCCCAAGCACCACCAGGTGTGTCCACCCCCAAAACCCCCCCCCCCCCACAAAATTGTGTTATGTTCACTGAAAATTGTTTTAATTATAAACACAAATTTCTTTTGGGAGTGGATAGGGTCACACCTTGCAGTGCTCAGGGCTGACTTCTGGCTCTGGTGCATCTCTGATGCCCAGATGGGGTGCCGGGGAGTAGACTTGGGTCAGCCACGTGCAAGGCAAGTGCCCTACCTGCTGTACTGTCTCTCCAGCCCCACATTTTCCATTATTCCAAAAAAAATACACAACTCATACATCTGTAATGAAAATGGAATAAAACCAGGTGATGTGGTAACAGTAGCACTGTAGCATTGTCTTCTGTTGTTCATTGATTTGCTCGAGCGGGCACCAGACTTCTTGTTACTATTTTTGGCATTTCGAATACGCCACGGGGAGCTTGCCAGGCTCTGCCATGCAGGGAGAAAACTCAGTAGCTTGCCGGGCTCCCTGGAAGGGATGGAGGAATCGAACACGGGTCGGCCGCGTGCAAGGCAAATGCCCTACCTGCTGTGGTATCGCTCTAGTCTGTGTTAACAGTGGTTACTGTAAAATCATTAAAAAAATGATTTTTGTGGGTTCTAACTTCAGTAGTAAAGTATAAGTTTGAGTTTTATTTTTCTTCTTCGGATACGCCCTGCGATGCTCGGGGCTGCTTCCGGCTCCCTTCTCATTTTCTTTGTGCTGTGTTCTAACTTTTTGTGACACTAGGTGGCAGAGGTAGCCCTCTAAAACTTGGTAACTGTTTTTGCTGGGCGCCCCTAGCCACCAGTGCTCAAAGCTTGCTCCTGCTTCTGTGCTCAGGGGTCACTCCTGCCAGGGCTCTGGGATGCCAGGAATCAAAGCCAAGTGGGGTATGCAGAACGATCTATCCAGCCCTACACCTTGATAGTTTTTAGCTACGGGAAATCGTAATTATTTCTTTTCTTCGTAGAAATGAATGAGTGAATATGCATCCATGTTTTCCGGTGTTTTTGTCAGGACTTTTTAAAAAATGCACTTGTAGTTCTATTGAAAATCACCAAATTTTGTCCCCTACACCTGCAATCATTCTTATTTAACTCCAATTCGGACTCAGGCTTTGCATTAATTTTGATGCTTCCTTTTATATTACATTTCCCGAATTCATAATTTTCAGAGTTCATTTTTGGGTTTTGGGCCACACCTGCCTCAGCTTACCCCTGGCGCTGCATTCACAGATCACTTCTGAGGGTCCCGGGGACCATATGAAATACTGGGGTTGGATCCAGATGGGCCGTGTGCAAGGCTGTATTATCCCACTGTATTATCTCTCCAAACCCATCATGATTCACTTGCTTTCAAACCCATCTAGTCTCCGTGCATTCTCTATTCCATTGGAACAATGACAAATCTTTCTCTTTTTTTTGGTTAGGGTGCTACCAGCCTAGGTTTTCTAGAAAGAAAAAAGTAGACGTTCATTTATGTACTGTCTGAAGAATCTGTTAAACTTACATGACCGGTGCCAGGGAGCTGGCAAGACTGAAATCTGTAGGGTGGGCTGTCGGGAATTGAGATTCCAGTCATGAGGCAAAATTTTTTTCCAGAAAGCTGTTTTTACTCCACAGGCTTTTCGGCTAATTAGACGCAGCCTGCCGTATTATCTGGTATCATCTCGCCCTCTCTTTTTTTTTTTTAACTGCACCTGGTGGTTCTTACACCTGGCTCTCCGCTTAAGGATTATATGTGTTGCCCGGGATCAAACCCAGGTCCCTGCTCTATTATCTCTCCAGCCCCCGAAATCTCTTGTGATTAAAAGCAGTTGTAGACTTGAGCCACGTCTCCAGAATATCATCACAAGCACACTGCAGTTAGTGCTGGGGCAAATAATCGAACGCTGTGGTCTCTCCAGCGTGACAGAAAGTAATCACCTGTGTAGACCTCAAGGTTCTTGCAGAATGTTTGTCCCAGAGAATGGCTGTATGACTCTGCCTTAGAACCACTACTGGAATTGTATGTTTGCTTTTCTCTGCTTATTTAAATGCATTTATCCCTGCATGAGGTTTCAAAATTTTGCTGGAATTGAATTATTTCATAATTGCTTTTTTATGCTTTCATAACTTGCCTTTTTTCACTTAGCAGTGCTACTGGTTTTGGGCGCATTTCTCTTGTTTTCTTTAACTGCCAATAATTCAGGACTCTCTCTGCCTTGGAAAGTTTGCAGATTTTTGCTGTTAACCCACGTTACTGCTCTCAGGCATTCTGGTGGGAATATCTTCGTGCTGATACTAGTATTAATGCCCTAGAAGTTCTGAGAGAGAAGACAGACTGCTTCAAAGAAACTACATGTAAACAAACAAGTAGCTTTGTATTGGATCTCAAGAGAAAATTATTTTCAGAGCTGGAAAGACAATACAGTGAGTAGGGCTCCTGTCTTGCAAGTAGCTGACCCAGGTTCGATCCCTGGCACCCCATATGGTCCTCCTAGCACCACCAGGAGTAATTCCTGAGTGCAGAGCCAGGAGTAACCCCTGAGTACCACGGGAGTGCTCCTGGCAGACTCGGGACCCTGTGGGGGTGCCAGGAACTGAACCCAGGTCGTTCAAGTGCAAGACAAGCACCCTAATTGATGTACATAGCTCAGGCCCAGATTTATATTTTTTCTTCTTCTTTTTTTTTTTTTTTTACTTTCTGGGTCACATCTGGCGACGCACAGGGGTTACCCATCGCTCTGCACTCAGGAATCACTCCTAGTGGTGCTCGGGAGACCCTATGGATTGCTGGGAATCGAACCCGGGTCGGCCGCTTGCAAGGCAGACGCCCTACCCGCTGTGCTACCTCCCCGTCGCCTATATTTGTTAACATATTAGAAACTGCCAAATGTTTGGGACCCTGAGCATTGCTGGGTGTGACCCAGAAACCAAAAGACAAAAAAAAAAATCTGTCGAATTGTTTTCCATCATGCTGTACCATTTTCACCTGCAGTCTGAGCATTTCAGATATTCCACACTTCTTTCCAGTACTTGTCTTTAATTCCTTTTTAATTTCATCCATTCTTTGGGGGTTATGGTGAAGGTTTTTTTTTTTTTTTTTTTTTTATTGAATCACTGTGGGAAAGGTTACAAAGCTTTCAGGTTTATGTCTCAGTCATGCAAATATCAAACACATTTCCCTTTTATGGTGAAGTTTTTTTATTGTGGTTTTTGATTCACATTTCCCTAGTGTGTCTTTGCAGACCTTCATATGCATATTTGATCATGAAATATTTTCCAAGTATCTTTTCAAGTAGCCTGCCTTACTGGGTTGTTTGTCTTTTTGTTTGTTACCAACTTGTAGGAATTTTTTGCGTAGTCTGGACACCAACCCTTTTCATAAATAAATGCTGATTGTTTTCACTCATCTGTGGCCTGTGCTGTTTTCTTCCCTCACGCACTCTTTTGCTGAGGAAGCAGTTTGGAAGCAGTTTGGTTTTGATGGTCCAATACCTTTGTAGTCAGTACTTTTTTTGTGTTCTGTTTAAGAAATCTGTTGTGGGCGAGGAAGACTCTTATCTTCGAAACGCACATTTTCCTAGGACACTTTGTAGTGTTGAATCACCATCCAGAGTTGATTTCTGCAAGTGGTTGAAAGTGTTGAAGTCATTTAATTTTATCTGGTTGATCTAATCCCATTTCTTTCTCCATTTAACCGCTTTGGCATCTTGATTGAGTCTGTGCAAGTTTATTTCTATTCCATTGATCTATCTCTTCTGGTTCCAGGATATCACTCTCCAAGTTTCATAGCATAATCGAAAATCTTGAATTCAGTATAAAGGTTTTTATTTCCCCCCCCCCTGCATCAAGATTGTCTTGGCTGTGCCCTCTTTTTTGTCCATAGAAACTTTGGAATTAGCATGTTGATCTCTGTTAAATGGCCTCCTTGGATTTTGAAATTTTGTTGACTTTGTAGATAACCTCTAAGAGAATTGCTGCCTTAACAATACTGAGATATCTGATTCACAAAGATGGTTTGTCTGTCAGATGGGCAGTTTTTTAAGTTTCCTTCGTGTCTTTGCAAGCCCTTGAGAACCCTCCCCCCCTCCCCCCCCCCGCCTTTATTACTAGGTAGCCCCAGGTAGCCAGTGTTTGATGTTACTGTACATGGTTCTTTTGGGTTGGTTTGTCTTGGGGGACCACACCCAGCTGTGCTCAGGGCTCACTCCTGGCTTTTCTCTCAGGGTTCGCTCCCGATGGGGCTTGGGGAACTCTGGAGTGCCAGGGTTGAGCTGGGGTCAGCTGGGTGTAAGGCAGACATCTCACCCACTGTGCTAGTGCTCAGGCCCGTCTTCATGGTTTTTTCCCCTCTTTTCCCCACTCTTTGGTACAACACAGACAAACATACTAAGTGAAAATGAAGATGCATTCCACTTCGTTGTTTCTTCTTACTTACCTTGCAGCATCGTTGAGTCTGGACTAAACACTGCCTTCCTTGGAGTGATACAGCACAGCGGGGAGGGCAATTGCCTTGCATGTGGCCCACCCGGGTTCGATTCCCAGCATCCTATATGGTCCCCCAAGCACCGCCAGGAGTGATTCCTGAGTGCAGAGCCGGGAGTAACCCCTGTGTGTCGCCGCGTGTGACCCAAAAAGCGAAAAAGAAAAAATACTGCCTTCCCTGTCGGCCCGATCCCTTGCGGTAGGGATGCGGAGCCGACGGATGCAGTTTCTGGCTGTATGCACTGGCCCCTTGTTCCAGTCCCAAAGGCCTCTGTCTGTTTCCCGGTCTGTGCTCCACTTCACAGTCTGCCCCGCGAGGCTCAGGGGGAACAGTGGTCACTGGACGCCATCAGAGTCTGCTGCATGTTCGAGTCTGTTCCGCTGGACCACAGGGCTGTAAAAGCTGGGCCGGAGCAGTATAGTCCAGTGGGCAGGGTGGTTGCCTTGCTTACTGCCGACCCGGGTTCTGTCCCCAGCACGCATATGGTCCCCCAAGCCCACCAGGAGTCAGCCCTCTGCACTGCCAGGGGTGACCCCCAAACAAGAGTGAGACAGTTTCATTTCCCCTCCCCCTGCAAAGTCAGTCATCATTTGTCTTAGCAGATGGCCCTGGGGCGCGGGGTGGGGAGGAGGATCCCCTACGCTTGTTCATCTTTCTTGGGAGTTTCAGTTTTTGTTTTGTTTTGGGGGGAGGCCTGCACCTGGCTGTGCTCAGGGACCACTCCTGGTGGGGCTTGGGAGACTGGAGGGGTGGGGGTGTTGCTTGGCTTAAACTCCGGCTGGCTGCGTGCAAGGCAAGCTCCTTATTCGCGGTACTGTCTCTTTGGTCCTGGGAATTCCATTTTTTATGTTCAGAATGCTCTATTGTCTTCAATAAAATGTTTTCCATACATTTCCCATTTTGCTTTTTTGCTGTGTGTTTCCCTTATGGCTAGAGCAGGTCCTTTGTGCTTCCTCATCTCAGCTGGAAGCTGCAGGTCCAGCTCGAGATTTTATTGCTGTTTTTGCTATAAAATAGTGTTTTCCTTGTGCTGGAAACTGACGGGCCCCTCCTTTTCCTTAGTTCTGTTGCTCTCCAGCCACTTGTTTATATTCTCCCAGTGCAGCAGGACCCCCATTCTGCTGACTAGCGGAGGACCGTGGGGGTTTACGTCTCTGGTAGTATGAAGAAATCTGGGAAATAAATGTCCAGTAGGTCTCTTGGCAAAGTCGTATTGGGTAGGACTTTTCCACAGGTCAACTCAAGGCCCTCAAGGGAAGCAGGTGGGTGTCCTTTCTGGGTGCAGAGCACAGGACCTGGGGTTGAGGCAGGGGGAAGTGGGCGGTGTTGGGGGACTGTTAGTCTTGGAATCCTGACACAGCGAGATCCTGTCACAGATACTTCCTGAAACTTCCGGTGTAGTTCAGTATAGGGATGACCGTGCTTCCTAGCATCACACTGCTGACCTTGAGGCTTGACACTGCTGACCTTGAGACTTGAGTCCAAACTTTGCAGCATCTTTTTTTTTTTTTTTTTAAAGAATCATGGCTTGGGGCTGGAGTGATAGCACAGCAGGTAGGGTGTTTGCCTTGCATGCGGCCAACCCTGGTTTGATTCCCAGCATCCCATATGGTCCCCCGAGCACCACCAGGAGTTATTCCTGAGTGCAAAAGCCAGGAGTATCCCCTGTGCATCACTGGGTGTGACCCAAAAAGCAAAATAAATAAATAAATAGCTTTATTTTTCTTATTCTATTTCCCGACCACACATAGACGTGTGCCCAGACTTGGGGCTGGACATGCCCAGTGAGAGCATGAAGGCGCTGTTGTGGGCCAGCGTCCACTCGCTCCGACCACTGGTGACTTGGAAGACGAGCCTTGACAGCAATTCGGGAATGCTGTTCATTGCCTCGACGGTGCCCGTTGTTCATGGAAGAGGTTTGCTTTGCATCGTCCTGTGTCTCACTCCTCCCCTCCTCTCTCTTTCTACTCTGCAGAAACTCTACGAGCTGAACAACCTGCATGCACTTATGGCAGTGGTTTCTGGCTTGCAGAGCGCCCCAATTTTCAGGTTGACTAAAACATGGGCGGTGAGTATATGCTTCTTGCTGAGGAAAGGCTCGGCTCCCCCCGAGGGGCGGTGGATCATTGCTTCTCCAGCTTCCAGTGAGGGCGATGCTATAATCATAGATAAGGACTTTGATTTGGAACCTTTTGGCAGTACCCATACTTTCTTCCCCTTGAGTGGTTTGCAGAAAACCTAGGGGATAAATTATAGGCTGCAGTCTAGTTTGTGTTCTTCGGGAAAGAATTTTCGGAGAACCTCCTTAAAACTCCTTAGACAACTTAACGTTTCCTAGTCTCTGATGAGAAAGTGCTCAGTGTCAAATTGGAACATTCGATCACATGAAGATTATGGGCTTGGAAAGTTGAAGGGAGAGAGAAATATATGTTATAGCAGATCCCTCTCAGCTGTCCCCTCGAGTCGGGAAACGTGAGAGCAGGCCTCGATCAGGTGCTGGTGTGATTGTCCTCATTGGATCTGTCTGTTCACAAAGGCCAGGAGTAAATTCTGACGGCCACATGTTTGTGTGTTTTTATAGTCGATGATGCGAGGCCAGCCTCAGGGTGCTAGGTATTTGTAGTTAGGTTTTTTGGGAGGTAATAAAGATTTGTTTAATTTGGTGATATTTAGTAGATTTCTTTAACGTTAAGGAGGAATGATACTATATTGGTACAAAGGATGAGTGTGTTCTCAGGGTCCTGTGATGTGATGACTGACTTTGAAAAAAGAAACTTTTTTAAAAAAATTAAACCTTTGCCTTCAACTGTTGTTGCTTTTCCTTTCCATAGCATTGGAAAGACAGATGTTTCCCATGAAAATCAGGGGAGATTTCTGTATTATAAAAGCATTAGTATAAAAGAGCTTGCGATATTCTGTATGTTTGTGTTATAAAACAGCTGGGTGAAAGGTTTTCTTGTTAAAATTATTATTAATAATGGCCATATTCAGTAAAATTTTGAATTTCATGGGGGAATGGAAATGATTATAAATAAAGTTATGAATTCCATCTCTGAAGTTTCAGGGAAAAGAGTTACACTATCATAGGGTAGATTGAAAGGCAATAGTTTCCTCAAGTTAATTTTTATTTTTCTTCTAGATTTTTTTTTGTTTCCCTCATGTATTTACATAGAAAAATTGTGTTTTTGTTTTTGTTTTTTTAGTAATGGCTCCATTGTTAATATTTCATATGGTGCCAGGCCTTGTCAGATTGCTTGATGTGTCACAGTGAATTATAATAAACAGAATTCCATCCTCTGCAGTTAGCATTCTACTGGAAAAAGCCACACTGTGAAAGAATGAATGTGAACACAGTGATGAAAGCTCCAGAGGAAAGTTAGGCAGAGCGAGGGAGGCGGAAGCAAAGCAGGGAAGTCACTGGTGGAATCTGTAACAGTAACAGTAGCTTGAGACCCAGAGGAATGAGAGAACCGTTCACGAAGACCCAACGCCAAGGTGACACCTGTCCAGGGGCCTCAATGGAGTCTAATGAGAGCAGGGTGGTCATTGTGGTCACCGATTCCTTAAGGAGTCTGTCTTCTCACAGTGAAAGATGCTCTGGGTGGGCTGAGTAGAGAAGTGACCTTACATTTCATAATGTGGGTGCCACAAGAGATGGTATAAACACACAATGGAATATTTTTCTGACCACACTGCACCATGAATGAAGCTGAGCAGAATAAACCAGCTACAAAAGGACAGATACTTGGATTCAGTTGACAGGCGATGCGGAGAGTAGTTCAGTTCCAGCACTCTGAGATTTGGGGTTGTTTGCCTGGCGCTGAGAAGCAGGAGCAAGAGGGTGGGAGTGGGGGTGACCACTTGGCAGGATGGAATTTTACTTCGGGAAGATGAAGGGTTCTGGTGACGGGTGGTGATGGTTGCCCAACAGTGGGGATGTACTAAATGAACTGCACATTTTCGAATGGTTAAGATGGAAAATATTACATATCTCTGTTTTGCCACAATTTTATGTAACCGTGAGGCTTATTCAGGTGGGGACTGGTTAAGAAAATAGGGTGTAAGATCAGTTGACTTTGAAAGTCTCACCTAAAAGGTCCTGGGTTATAACAGTGTAGAGTGCTTGCCTTGCATGCAGGAGATCCCGGGTTTGTGATGATCTTGGCATCACAAAAGAATAATAATAGCAACACACACACACACACACACATACACACACACACACGAGACTGTCTGATAATAATAAAAATTAAAATAAATAAAAATAATAGGGACTAGAGCAATAGTAGAGCAGGTAGGGCATTTGCTATGCACGTGGCCAACCCGGGTTCGACCCCCGGCATCTCATAGGGGCCCCCAAGCACTGCCAGGAGTAATTCCTGAGTGCAGAGCAAGGAGTAACCTCTGAGCATCGCTGGGTGTGACCCCCCCCCAAAAAAAAAGCGGGGGGGGGGGGAAATAATAAAAACATGTCATTTTTATTACCCAGTACAAGAAACACAGTATCAAATAGGACCAAGTGTAGCTATAGCACTGTAGCACTGTCCTCCCATTGTTCATCGACTTGCTCAAGCAGGAACCAGTAACCTCTCCATTGTATCTCCATTGTGAGACTTGTTGTTACTGTGTTTGGCATATTGAGTAAGCGGGGAGCTTGCCAGGCTCTGCCTTGAAGGCGGGATATTCTCCATAGCTTGCTGGGCTCTCCGAGAGGGATGGAGGAATCGAACCTGGGTCAACCGCGTGCACGGCAAATGCCCTACCCGCTGTGCTATCGCTCCAGCCTGGGACCAAATGTATAAGACTTAGATGCAGAAAATGAAAACTTTATAGGATGTTAGAGAAGAATGAATAGGTGGAATAATACTGCTTGCTCGCAGATAAGAAAAGTTAAAGATGCAGGTTCTTCCCAAATGTATGTGGAGATCATCAGCATTTTAAGTCAAAATCCCAGTCTGGGGATCTTGACAGGATCGCTTAAAACGTTTACGTGGAAATGTGAAGGATTCTGAGTTGCCAAGATATCCCTAAGGAGGACTTGGGAACTGAAGGTCTGGTACTTAGCGTCACGGATAACAAGATATCAACTAGATAGCAGCTCTGATGCCGACCAGTGACTCAGTACCAACAGTGGGGTAGAATAAAGAGCACAGTACAGCGAGAGTACGTGGCTGGGACTGTGACTCAGGGGCGGTATTGGGGATTGTTTATTCTGGAGAGCTGGGAACTTGGTTGTCAGCTTGGAGAAGACACGAAACTGGGCCTTTTAGACCTTCACAATAAATTATTGTCAGATGAATCACAGACAGATGATTGTGAACCTTTTAGAGCCTTTTGGATGAGAATGGCTCTCTGCCATGCCATAAATAGGTTTCTGGTTTGAGGTAACTAAAGGCTTTTTAAGATCACCAAAAAGCTCTAGCAATGAAAGAAAAGATGTATGTTTTCCCACGATGAAATAAGAATTAAAAAAAAAATACTTGTTTTGTTTTGGGTTTGGGACCACATGCACTGATGTTCAGGGATAACTCCTGGCTCTGTGCTAAGGTTTCACTGCTGGTGGTGCTCTGGGGACCACAAAGGATTCCAGGGATCAAACCCGGGTCAGCCACATGCAAGGCAAGTAGTGCCTTACCTGCTGTCCAATCTCTCCAGCCTCTGATGTGCAAATTTTTACCAAAATTCGAGGAAGTTTTAAAGGGAACCTCAGAGTGGGTACACCAGTTGTCGTTGATTAAGATTGTGTACCCAGAAACCTTGCAAGAGACAAAGAGAAAAGGTTGGCGACTTGATGAGAAGACAGAACCCTTAAGGAATCAGTGAGGCAGCCACGCAGGCGCGGATGGAGCATGAATGTGCTCAGGGCCAGGGCCAGGGGCAGAGGCACTGTACACAGTGTGAAAGCAGGTGGGATGGAAGGATCACGTGATGGCCTCTGAGAGTTGTTCGAGGGAATTGGATACAGAAGGGGCACTTAGGGCCCTGTGGGGTGTGGGTGAGTGGGACTGAGGCCAAAAGACTGATTCCCGCGTTTGTGTTGCAAAAATGTCAAATTTAATAAAGCCACTCCAGAAGTAGGGTCATTGAGTATCATGAACCAATGGATGTAAATAAACTGTGGCTCACGATCCGTTATTTGTACCAACACAGACATTCATGCATGTTGTATGGATACGAACCAAGGGGGTGAGGGGCCAGGGAGGGAATCATGTGTTTCCGCCTGGCATGGGGAGAAACCCAACCCTCCACAATTCCCCAGAGCAGGTGTTGGTGTTAGTGCTGCTGGATTCTGACCCAGGGGATTTGGGGGCCTCCTTCATCTTCAGGCACCTTGGAAAGTGTAAAGAGTTGTGTGCAGCTCTTCTCCCCCCCCCCCCGCCCCCCCCGCCCATTGACACATGTAGCTCATACTCTTGGTCAAAAAAACTTTATATAGGGGCTGGAGCAATAGCACAATGGGTAGGGCGTTTGCCTTGCACGCGGTCGACCCGGGTTCGATTCCCAGCATCCCAATAGGGTTCCCCAAGCACCACCAGGAGTAATTCCTAGGTGCACCCAAAAAGAAAAAAAAACTATATATATATATATATATATATATAGTTTTTATATGGCACAGAGGCCATTCTGGCAGACCCAGAAGTACTTGGTTCTCTGTTTTTGGCACTGTGTGAAGTGAGCTGCAGGAGTGACAGGCCTGTCACCAAACAGAAGCGAGAGGAAGCAAGGCGAGGCTTCTGAGGCAGGGATTCTGAGCTGACGGATTAGTTTCCTTTGTCCTTATCTCCTGGAAAGGAGTCTTTGCTCTGCCACTCCAGATTAAGTGCTGCCAGTCGGGTTACTGTTAACATTACGGAAATTTCTGTGGTTTTTTATTTATCAATGTTAGACCATAGAACTACCATTTTTGTGTTAAATATGAGACACGTTAGCTACAACTCATAAGTGATTTTTCTCCTGATGCCGTACCGCCGTTTTTGAGCGATCGTGAAGGCAGAGCTTAGCTCCCATCCAAGTGCTCGGCTGTGTGGAAGTGAAGGACGGTGAGGCAGGCAGGCAGCAGCGGCGGTTCACTCCAGGTTTCACAGCTGCTGGTCGGGGTGAACCCAGTTCCAGCTCAACCTGAAGGCAAAGGACTCCCCGCCCTCCTGTGTTTTAAGGGGAGGGCCCGCTGGGGGCCCCCTTTCCCGACTCTCTGAAGACCATTTGTACGGCAGGGTCTGTGAAGAGAGACTCGTGTCTGTCCCAGTACAGGACAGTGGTGGATTGGCGTCAGCCCGGCACTTGGAGAGTAGGCACATGGGTGAGGCTGGTGGCTCACTGCCGTGGCATCTGGTGGCCCACTGTCCTCTCCTATATCAGCCCTAACACCTTATTCATGTCATAGGAGAAGTAGAGGACCCCAGGGCCGCAGCTGCTTCAGTGCTATAAAATAACCTGAATAGTTGATGGCGTTTTATTATATCAGCACGAAATAGTAAGAGCTTAATGCGTTGAAAAAAATTTTCCCCACTCCTTGGAGTGCTCAAGAAATATCTTCTAGGGGCTGGAGCGATAGCACAGCGGGGAGGGCGTTGGCCTGGCACGCGGCCGACCCAGGTTCGGTCCCCAGCATCCCATAGGGTCCCCCGGGCTCCGCCAGGAGTGATTCCTGAGTGCCTGAGCCAGGAGTAACCCCTGTGCATCTCAGGGTGTGACCCGAAAAGAAAAAAGAAATATCTTCTAAACCTTTTTGTTAATACCACTTGGAGGAGCAGATCTTGCTTCACTTGTGTTTCTATTACCTCCCATTTTCTCCAGGGAAACTCAGCAGCAAATCTACATCACACCTTTGAAATCAACAGCTACTGCAAGCTGTCTCAGATAGAGCATTGATCAGAGGAATCCAAGAAAAATGTGTCCCCCAAAAGCCAGAAATTGAGGCGATAAGTTGCATAGACAGTACTAAAACGGACCATGGTTAGATTAACCAAGGAATTCAGGGTGGAGGCATACTCAGCAGTGAGTGCTCAAGGCTCAGTCCTGGTTAGAGAATTGCTCAGGGATTATGCCTGGCAGCACTTGGGTTCCAGATGGGGTGCTGGTCAGCTGCGTGCAAGGGAAATGTCCTATCCATTCTACTATCTCTCCAGCCCCTCAGTTAAATTTCACAGATTGCAAAATTCATTGTTTCTCAATGATTAAGAATGATTTTATTTTTTTCCTCCTTGACAAGAGACACAGTGTATTCTGAAATATTGGGCATGTGAGCTGAATATGAATGCAAAATTATTTAAATTAGAACATGATTTTAAAAAATGTTTAATCATTTAATGATGACAACTGTATTATAATTTACTGCTTAATAAGTTTAAAAAGTATATGGACCTGCCAGAAATATATTACAAATGAGGGATTGCGTTAATATTTTGATAGACTTGTCTGCTTTTATTTGTATGTTACCAAAATATGATTAAAGGAAGTCAAACATTGAAGTTGAGATTTACAGTAACTCTTGCTTCAAGTCTTTGCTATACTTAAATGGGATTTGGAAATAACTTAGGCTTTTCTGTTTGTTTTTTAGTTATTAAGTCGAAAAGACAAAACTACCTTTGAAAAATTAGAATATGTAATGAGTAAAGAAGATAACTACAAAAGACTCAGAGACTATATAAGTAGCTTAAAGATGACTCCTTGCATTCCCTATTTAGGTGAGTCCTTCACTATGTGTTCATGATGCCTTACTCAAGTCATTTACGTAACATTCAGGATATCTCCAAAGTGTGTTTTCCTCTCAAGAAATTACTCCGAGAATGTTGGGTTGAAAAATTGACTAAAAGCTATGTTACCTTATTCTCTGGCGTCTATTTTCTTTCATTTTAAATTAGTTCATTACCCTTAAGGTTTTCTGTAGACTCCCCTGCCCCCACTTAGAAATGGACCTTTTAATAAGAACAAGATAGTTTCGTTTTCTTAGTAATGCTTTTAAAGAATGAAACAGTAATTTGGAGTTGAATACTACAAAGATATTTAACTTTAGCAAAGCAAAATTGGTCGCAGGATTAATAGCGTATTTTTAATGAGTTCTTATTCAAATGGTATTTTAGGATGAATTATGAAATTGTGAAAAGTATTGATGTATTTTTTTTTTTAGATGAAATGAGTATTTTAGCAGTGGAAGGCTAGCTTAGAGCTATAATAGAGAAATCTCCATTTTAGATTAGTTGACTGGAATTTTATCTCTCTTTCCCCTGTAATTTACAGTGTTTATAAATCCCTAGAAGTACCCTATAAAATTACTTTCAGCAAAATACAAATAGAACTTTCTTAGGTGTTTGAATTTTTTAAAAGTCTCAAACTGTTCTTTTTACAATGTGTATGTAAATTTAAGTATGGAAAATGTTTGTATGTTCCTAGCATATATTACACTTGATTCTCTGCAGAGAAGTAAAATGAGAAACACTTGTTTCTCTTCAGTATCTCTTTCCTTCCACCATCTCACCTCTGTCCATTATCTGACCACTCACTTGATTTCCTGGGAAAGCCAGATGTCTGGTGCTTGTTTTGGAGACTTGAAGTCTGTGTGGTTGGGGGGATCATGTGGATGACAAGGATTCAGCTGGGGCCGACCACATGCAAGGAAGATGCCTCAGTCCCTGTCCAAGACGAAAACGTCATGAGCATCAAGAACTTTCGATGGAGAATCGTCAGCCTTCCATTCCAGAATTGGAATTGCTCTGCATACTGATGTTTTTGTTTCCTTGTGAACCCTGTTCTCTATATCTAAATGTAGGACCAGAAGCATGTTACGGTGTCCTTCCCGGTGGACCCCAGTAATCGCTTCTAATTCACTTCTTGATGGAGTTGAGAAAACCGAAAGACAGCAGCCTGGCCTCATGTCTTAGGTCCAGTTCCTGGGATCTGGAGCCCCAGTCTTGACCCAGCTCTTTCCGTTACTATACTCACGTTCTGCTAAACTCACGTTCTAAAATGGATTACTTCCATGCAGTTTATTTTCTCATTGAAAATGTTTCTCTTCCTCAAAGCCTAGCCTTCTATATGTTGCAGAAAAGAGTATCGGAGATTTATTTTCTGTCGGAATTAAGAGTGTGAAAAATAAGATGGGTCCTTATGTTGCGGTTTAGTTCAGAGGTCTTGGTTTCCTTTTGTCCACTGAAACTCCCATTCTGGGCTGGGGAGCTCGTGTGTGTGTGTGTGTGTGTGTGTGTGTGTGTGTGTGTGTGTGTCTGTGCGCGCGCATGCGCGCGTGCTCAGGTCACATGCTCACATCACATACACGGGAGCCAAGGAACCCCACTGGTGTAGCTCGATTCAGCAGAATCTGGGGAGATTCTCTGTTGGATAATACAGTAAATCCTCACTTCCCGTGCTTTATAGAGTCCTGAAAATGTGATTTTAACCGAAGCAACATAGAACAAACTAATTTTCCCCATAGCTGAATGGATGTAAACAAGAGTTAAGTGCCTGTGTCATATTTCTGGCTTCACACATGCAAAAAAAAAAAATCACTAAGCTTAACAAGAGAGACACAGAATACTTTTATTTATTTATTTATTTTTGCTTTTTGGGTCACAGCGGGTGATACACAGGGGTTCCTCCTGGCTCTGCACTCAGGAATCACTCCTGGTGGGTGCTTGGGGGACCCTATGGGATGCTGGGAATCGAACCTGGGTTGGCTGTGTGCAAGGCAAATGCCCTCCCCGCTGTGCTATTGCTCCAGCCCCTTGTTTGTTCTTTTATTTTTCGGACCTGCTTATTCCAGTTGAAGGTCACAGGAGGCTGGATCTCGGGGGACGAGGCTGGACCCCCCACCCCGCCAGACCAGAGCACCCTCCATCACAGGGCACATCACACCCCACACTCCACCAGGACCTCCCACCCCCTCATACACTTGATGTTCGTGGTGGTGGGAGGAGATGGACCCACAGACACAGGGAAGACCGCGCAGACAGCATGCTCTGCTCAAAAGCCCCGCTTCATGGCCACCGATCGATGAAAGACACGGGGTGAAAAAAGAGTCTATGTGCTTGCTACTTGGTGCTACTTAGTACCTGTCTTCTCCCGAACTTAGCAACCAGAGATAAACAGTAATTATTATTGCCTCTGAGCTAAAACAGACTAGTCCAGTATTGGGGTATGAATGAGTACCGATATGGAGAAGCCACTTGCTAGAACCATTGTCTTCTCTTTTGACCTCCACTCCCCAGAATCTTCCTTATTGTTATGACACTGTAATTCTCTTTCATTTTAAACCTAAGCTAATGAAGAAAGCACCCTCACCTTCCCCACTTTTGCTTTTCCCGGCCTATTTTTCTAGTAGATTCCTTTTTTTTTTTTTTTTTTTTTTTTGGCTTTTTGGATCACACCTAGTGATGCTGAGGGGTGCCTCCTGGCTCTGGACTCAGGAATCACTCCTGGTGGTGCTTGGGGATTCATGAGATGCCAGGGATTGAACCCAGGTCAGCTGCATGAAAGGCAAACACCCGAACCCATTGTACTATCACTCCGGCCCCCTACAAGATTTCCTGATCCGGCCACCATTGATTTCCTCTTTGGAATATTCAGCAGTTATTTCTGAAACCCCATCTTAATTTTGGAAGGCTTATCCCTTTATTGAAATTTACCACTTGATGACTCTGGTCTCTTGGTTTATTCTCTATGCTTCTGTTTTGGTTTTTAATCAACTCCTCTTCCTCTTAAAAATGCCGCCTGCTAAGTGACTCTCTTTCTTTCCCTTCTCTCTGGAGGACCTCTTTTTTATTTTAATTTATTTTTATTAGTGGAACACCATGAGGTACAGTTGTAGACTTACAAAGTTTTGTGCTTGGGTTTCGATTATACAATGATCAAGTACCCATCCCTGCACCAGTGCCCATTTTCCACCACCATAAAAAGGTAAAAGGTAAAGGCCCTCCCGTTGATCGTCGATTTGCTCGAGCGGGCCCAGTAACGTCTCCATTGGAGACTTTGTTGTTACTGTGTCCGGCATATCGAATACTCTCGGTAGCTTGCCGGGCTCTCCGAGAGGGGCGGAGGAATCGAACTCGGGTCGGCCATGTTGGCCGCTTGTAAGGCGAACGCCCTACCCGCTGTGCTATCGCTCCAGCCCATAGATCCACCACCATAGATCCCAGTATCCCTCCATCCCCCATCCCCCCACCCCACCCTGCCTCTGTGGCAGGGCATTCCCTTTTGTTCTCTCTCTCCTTTTGGGTGTTGTGGTCTGCAAAAGAGGCATTGAGTGGCGATCATGTTCGGTCCATAGTCTACTTTCAACATGTATCTCCTCTCCTGGGAGGATCTGGGGACCTCTTTTGGAGTAGTCGCGTTCAGGTGTTGCTTTTCACTTCGTTGTTATTTTTTTAATAGACCTTGTTGACTTCTAAATTTAGTGCACTTTAGTGTCTGAGCGGCTGTTGCATTTAGCCGGTCATCTCATTCTGCCAGTTGGAGGAGCATCTGAGATTGTAAGACAGTTGTGCACGATTTGGCGGGAGCACTTGGTAGCCTTGGGGAAGGAGAACAAAACATGTGTTGGATCAGTTGCTGTGGCTCAGATTGCTTAGCTTTCCGCATAAAAATCGCCCCTTTGTGATGGTGACAAATGTCTTTGCTCGCAGACTTGAGAGTAAACGTTTTCTACCAAAACATTCAGGCTGCTCTTCAGTCAGTATGCAGCCTTGGCAGTTTACATATTTTTGGACTGATGAGTGTGTTCACAGTACGGGCAGCTGGTTTGCTTTCACAGTTCTTGAGCTTTGGCGCTAGTTTTTGAAGAATGGCTATTTAGCAGTAGCCTCGATCTTGTTAATATTTACTCGCTCCCATATCTTGCCTGGATTTCCAATAAATTAGTTTTGTGGTTTTCTAATGAACTTGTGTTGATTACGAATTCTTTCCCACTCACCAAGTGAAGTGGTGTTGCCAGAAACGTCAGCTTTCTGCTGTGCTGGGTGTGGGACAGACCTTGCCTGGGGTCCCTCTGGAAATCGAGGACCCATGAACCAGACGAGGAATGGCCATTCACCCCACGTCAGAATTCCTGCAGAATTCGCCACAGTCTGCCCTTCTCATGTCTACAGAGGTTCTTAGTGAAGGAAGAAGAGTTAAGCAGAAGGATCTAGTGTGTAGAGAAGGGATGAAAACAGATCACCCCGTGTTGCTCAGTGTGAGGGAGGGGCCCACTAAAAACCCCTCATTGTTTGTGAAGCCTTAAGGAAGTCTGGGGAGTTACAGGCTGGCCAAACCCTTCTTTCGATACTACCAATTCTATCAGTAACTCAGTGTGGTTTGATTTGTACAAAATTGCGAACGTTTTCTTGGCTTTTCAATCATCTTCCCTTGAAGAACTGTCCTCTGTTGGTTTGCATGCAAAGGAAAAATGAGCTGGAGTAGACAAAAAATGGAAAAATCCTTAGAATAAGTACAGATTTTTCTGGAAAAGGATCGTTTGGGCAAGTCTCAAGGAGAAAACATTTTAAGTGGGAATCATTGCTTAAAATCTGAGAATCTTTAACAGCGCTCATTTGTTTTTGTCATTGGAAAACGATCTTAGGGGGCTCGTTGGAGAATTTGGCACAGTAAGTTTTGCTTTGCTGGAAAGAGAAAAATAGAACATTGTGCAAAAATAATTTAGTTGTGCGAAACATGATGAATATTCTTTCATGTGCATTTTCTCTCCGTGTTTTTACTTTGTTCATGTGAGATGCAGTAGCTTGATCAGCTTTGGGTGTATTCTGGTAAAGAACCTATTTTTAGAGCTGTGGAAAGAAGTTGGTCCCATTCTGCACATTACTCTCTGTTCCAGAGAAGTTTTTGCAAACTCCAAACTCTTAATGCAAGGACGCTGCTTTGATACAGACACGCACATTTACTTTTCTGTTTGGTGTGTGGGATTTTCAGAGTGAGTTTTATTTTTAGAAGGGAAAAAGCTTCTCTGGGTGCCCCAGCCCACCCCAGTTCCTTGAAAGGCCCTGTTTTACTTTCTTCATGCTGTCATTACTCTGTCTCTCTGTAGTGTGGAAGCCTGTTATTTGTCTTGGATCAAGATTTATCCTTATTTACAAAAGTAGGCACTTAGTAATACTTGTTGGTTGAGTTAAATGATCCCTTCCTGGCATAGTCCATTGTTCCAGTAACTTTATTTGCTTGAATTTTTCTTTAGTGCATGTAATTTGTTGTGTGGCACTTTGATATATAGCTCCATATCACCCCCATTTTCTTTCGCTACATTAGAGGCTGACCAGTGTTTGCTGAGCTCTGGGCTGGTGCTAGTTACAGAGGAGGTAGTGCTGTCAGCTTTGCCCTGCCTTCATGGCACTTTCTGTCTCTCCCAAATGCTGTAGTGGGTGCCTTGTCAATAATGTCAAGACATCATTGATGGTCCCTCTGAGTGCTGCCTTGCCAGGCCAAACGGTAGAGGGAGGGACCTGGGTTACAGGGACCTTAGATCTTACTGGTCCTTTCTCTTCCACTGCGTTGACCTATATTTATTGAAAGTTGAATACTGTCTCTCAGTAGAATATGATTCTTTTTTTTTTTTTTTTTTTTTTTTTTTGCTTTTTGGGTCACACCTGGCGATGCACAGGGGTTACTCCTAGTTCTGCACTCAGGAGTTACTCCTGGCGGTGCTCAGGGGACCCTATGGGATGCTGGGAATCGAACCCGGATTGCTCACATGCAAGGCAAACGCTCTACCTGCTGTGCTGTCTCTCCAGCCCCGTAGAATATGATTCTTGAGACTTGCATTATTGCAGAATTTTCCAGTAACCTATAATACAAATACATTCTGAAACCTTAGCTTTTTAAGAGTGTGTTTTTGTCTGTGTGTGTAAATTTAGCTAATATGGTCACAGTAATGTTAAAGTTTATGGCATTGAGGGCCCAGAACCATAGTACAGCCAGTAGGGAGTTTACCTTGCACACAGCCAACCTGGATTCCATCCCCGGCACCCCTTAGGGTCCCCCAAGCACCACCAGGAGTAATTCCTGAGTGCAAAGCCCAGGGATAACCCCTGAGCATCACTGGGTGTGACCCAAAAACAACAACAAAAAAAAAAGTTTATGGCATCATGCACAAAGTCACTGCACTGACCCAACACCTAGCCCCAAAGTGCTCACAAACCTCCAACATGCTGCCTGTTGGCTTTTTATTCAGTTTTCTGTTAGATTGTTTCAGCACAGTGCAAAAGCTTGCTGCAGCACTGTGCGAATTAATGGAATATTTTTCTTCCCCCTTGGTGGAATTTTGTCTGATTAAACCTTTTTTTTTTAATGCTCTGCCATCCATCTTAGAAATAAAAATGATGGGGCCTGCGAGATAGTGCAGCAGGGAGGGCATTGGCCTTGCCCAGCCCGAGTTTGATTCCTGACACCCCATCAGGTCCCCCAAGCCTCTCTAGGAGTGATCCCTGACCACTGCTGGGTGGCCTCTCCCAGGAGACAGTATGTCAAAGAGTGTCCCTGGCCTGTACTATTCTTTTTATTTATCACTTTTGTTTGTTTCTGTTTGGGGGCTATACCCAGTAATGCTCAGGGGTCACCCCTGGCTCTGCACTTACGAATTGCTCCTGGTACTGCATGGGGGACCCTGTGGGATGCTGGGGATCGAACCCCGTGTTAGGTGCATGCAAGGCAAACTCCCTATCCAAGCTCCACAGCCTCTCTAGCCCCGTACTATCTCTTTAAAATCTCACTTCCTTTCTTTGGTTCGATGTGTAGATAATATATGTCACCGATTACTTACTCTTTTCTTTTCATTTGATGATATAATGCATTTTAGAACAGTAACGAAGCATGTTCAGCCATTTTCTTTTGTATCCTAAGAATGAGTTCTGACCAAATGGCAGTTTGCCCTGTCCTGTTCTTTATCCAAAACCACATTCCCATTTTCCATTACTTCATTTATATCCTTTTTGCTCTTGAGTTTTTTTCCCCTTATACTTAAAATTCCCCCTAACATTCTTTAATGATTTATCCTCTAAAGTTTCTTTGTAGGTCCCTCAGACTTACAATATAAGAGGCTAACACTCATCATTTAATTCTCTTTTTTTTTATTTTTGGGTCACACCTTGCGATGCTCAGGGGTCATTCCTAGCTCATGCACTCAGGAATCACTCCTGGCGGTGCTCAGGGGACCATATGTGAGGCTGGGAATTGAACCCGGGTCGGCCTCGTGCAAGGCAAACACCCTACCTGCTGTGCTATCGCTCCAGCCCCAAGGGAAAGTTCTTTAAGGCTCCTCTCTGATAGGGGTTGTGGGTATCTAAGTGAGGTCGTACGGTTTTGTCAATAAATGGAGCCCGAGGGAAGTTTTACTCAGAACTCAATATGACGGTTAGATACTGTTTCCTCCCGGAAATCTTAGAGCAGAGGGTTTTGACTGTGGAACGGTGGGAAAGGACCGCTGACCTATTACAAGAGGACCCAAGGTAGATGCAGAAGTGGTCGCTCCTTTTTCCTGGTAGTGGTATGTGGAGGTATGGTGGCAGGTCCCGACCCATGCATCGAGAAGTTGAAATGATTCTCACCTGATAAACCTGCTCTCAGGGACCATTAGTCTCAGACCTGTGATTTCTGATTGAATGGTTTGGTTTGGTTTGGTTTGGTTTTTTTGAGCAAAAGCCTGTTGGTGTTTCTGTCAAATTCACAGATCAAGTAGGGAAGATCAGCTCTAAGCTGCAAACATATTTCTGGAAGGAGTTTGTGAGGAGTTTAAGGCACACACTTTGGCTAATTCCAAGAGTGTAACCGGCCTTTCAAACTGGCCAACGCCCTGGGTGCCGGCCTGAAGAGTGTGCGTCTCTGAAGCTGTTCCCCAGGCCCCAGTAGAGGACGGTAGGGTCTGCAGAAAGCCGCTGGGCAGCTGGCCTGAAGGGCCAAGGTTAGCCAGACACCAGGGGTCAGTAAGTGAGGGGGAAGTATTAATGAACCAGTAGGCTTAGCCATAGGTACAGAGAGCCGCTGGGAATGCACTTTTGTATGTTTCAACATTTGGTTGGCATCTCGCACCTTAACCACATAGGTGGCTTTTGTGTCTAGCAGTCACACAGAGATAAGAATTTGAAGTAACTTTTATTCAATGCAAAATGTATTTTCTACCGGCAAAATGAGAGTTTCCCCTAATTTCCTGTCATTTTTTAAATAAAAGGCATTGTCTGAAATCTTCTAATTTTCCATTGCAAGAAGAAAGCTCTTAAGTACATTTTTAAGGATCTTAAACATGCCTTCAATTTTGATACAAAATAAAGCTAAGATTTGTCTTACTTCTTGGCAAATATTTACACTTGAGGAAACAACCTCGTCTGTATTTAGTTACTGTAATTTAAAACATACTTGATTTGTGAATGCAAATAATCTTCCAGAATATGCTGAGGGGAAATGAAGCTATACTCGTGTTCCCTTTCACGGGTGTGATAAAATTCACTTTAAAAACTATCTGTAGAAATTAATTGCACAGAAGAATCTATGGTAGCATGTACTTTTCTAGGACTGTGAAGATGCAGGTCTCTCTCTCTCTGTGTCTCTGTCTCTGTCTCTGTCTCTGCCTCTGCCTCTGCCTCTGGCCCTTCTTTTGGGATGGTTCCTCAGTCGATGGGCTTGATCATCATCTGGACCGCCTTGAGGGAGTAGGAGCCGCCTCTGTACTCAGCCCAGAAGATTCCGTCCTGGTGCTTGCTTCTGTAGTGGCCCCCTCTGTACCAGACGCCGTTGAGATTCGAGTGTGCGCACGCATTGTACCACCAGCCGCCTTTGTGGAAGTGGGCGCAGTTCCCTTGGGGAAAGAAAGAAAGGTTTCTAAGCGCAGGGCTGGTGTCACAGACCCTCAGCTAGCATCCGGTACCCGGTAGGTACCTTATTACCACAGTGGTGGGTTTCTCCCTGCTGCTACTGTGGCCTAAATATCGGCCACACAGTGAGCGAGCTCTCAGGTTGCCTCTTTTTTGAAACTTGCCCTTGACTTGCTTAATCCCAGCTTTTCATTTCTGAGTGGCTACTTTCGAAGGTAGCAAGGAAATAAGCGCAGCGAGTACTGAAGTATGAAATAGCGGAAGAAAAGAAGTTGCTAAAAATCAGTCAAGTTTGGGGAAAAAGCTATTCTCAAGATAGCAAGATACAGTACAGAGCAGCATTGCCCACACTCGAAGGCATTGTGGTCATTTTTCCCTTTTCCCTTCTTTTCATGCATGCGTTATGGTCTTTTCCCTTTTTTCTTTTTTTTCCAGTGGTTAAAATAAACTTAACACAGCTACCTAGATGTTGCTTTACCAAGATATGACTGAGTTAGAAAAATAAGTCCATTTCCAGTGGAATAGCTATAAGAGCCAAAGCCTGGATTTTTAAAAGTAAGAAAATTAAATTTAGATTTAAATTAAAAAGTGAGATAAAATTTAAATTTGATTATTTCTCACGATAGCCTGATTGACTCCTTGGGGTGGCGTCTTCTCCTTCAGCCTGAAGCCTCCTGTCTGCCGGCTCTCCCCATCATGGAGGAGTGTCTTTGCCCCACCTGCCCAGCGGCCTCCCTCCTCTTGAGTCATCCCAAGCCTACCTGCCAATAGCCGCCACCCCACAAAGATCATGTTGTCTCCTGTAGAGGGAACCCCAGGGACCAGGGCCTTAGCTCAGTGCTGGCCTCAGTGAGGATTAGACATGGGATTAGGCTACAGAGTTTTGTTTTATTTATTTTATTTTGGGGGCTTTTTGGGTAATGCCCGGCAATGCTCAGGGGTTACTCATGGCTCTGTACTCAGGATCACTCCTGGCGGTGCTCAGAAGACCCTATGGGATACTGGGGACCAAACCCGGGTCGGCCGCATGCAAGGCAAACCCCCTCCTTGCCATACTACCACTCGGGCCCCAAGAGTTTCATTTATAAGCAAATGAGTGATTGTCTGGTATGAGCAAGGTGAGAACCGCAGAACCCTGTACTTCAGTTGGCACATGGGGGGATGATGGGCTATCAAAGCTGTTCCTTTTGATAGGAAAGTCAGATATAGAAAGAGCATTCCAGAAAGTCATTCTGAACTCAGAGGGTATGTGGGGACACAGACGGACGGACACACACACACACACACACACATACACACACATACACACACACCCTTTCTAGACTCAAAGGGCATGTGGACCTTCCTCCCATGCTGTTTATGGCTGTATCCTTTAGTAACTTAATGTTACTTAATAACTTAATGTGTTTAGTGCATAGAAGGCAGAGGTCATTCTACAGAGACTGACCCTCTGTCCTTGCTCACTCACCTGTATACATGTCTTTGTCTCGGTCCAGTGTGGTGAACTGTTTGCCATTGTGCCACATCAGGGAATCCCCTGCATTTCCCTGGTACGTTCCCAGGCGAAGTCGATAGAATTCACTTTCGGGTTCCAGGCGAAAACTGCTGTATTCTGCATAGACTTTTTTATCACTCCAGTCTTCCAGTTCAATCAGCAGCTTATAATTGTCTTGAGTGCTGAGCCTGTAGATATTTTCCAAGCCCAGCCAGTATTCTCCATCAATGTTTCCGAACCCTTTCTGTTGACAGAGACCGTGTGTGTATCAGTGAGGGTCAGCATGTCAACTTCTATAGCTCAGTTTTGAACGGAACATCAAGAGTGGCTATTAAGTGATGACGTGAACCTTCATTGTCATAGGTCATCAGAGGCCCACAGAATCATTCTGTTTTGTTGAGCTGTTTCTTAATTAGTCAGTATTCATAAGCTAGTTTCAAACTCCTACATGTTGGGCCGAAAAGATAGCACGGCAGGGAGGGCATTTGCCTTGCATGTGGCCGACCTGGGTTCGATCCCCAGCATCCCCTAGGGTCCCCTGAGCGCCACCAGGAATAATTCCTGAGTGCAGAGCCAGGGGTAACCCCTGAGCATTGCCAGGCATGAAGCAAAATATAAAAAATTTTAAAAATTCTACACATAATTTCTGCAAAGGCAGAATAGAGCAAAACCCCTTCTGAATCACTCAGTTCTTTTAAAAGGGTCCCTAAGCTCTGTCTTCATCCAGAACCAAAATGTTTTTCTAACAGTTGCCGGTTGTCTTTCCCGTCAACAAAAAGAATATCTGATGCGATAATGGTCTTCGGATAAAGATAGTTGTATCTCTTTCCGAGCCAGTATGTTTCAAGTAAAATTAATAAAACAGGAGAAGCAAAATAGTTCTCATGGAAGTCCCCCTGGGAAAAGTCACAGTTGGGGTCTGGGAAGGTCCCCTTCAGGACACCCCATTGCACGTGTGCGTTTGCCTGTAGGATTCTGTGCCTGCTTTCTGCTCTCCCTGCCACCCTAGTGGCACCCTGAGGTCACACACACCTGGGGGAGGTGCTGCACACATTCTAATTGTAGTGGTGGCCAGGACCCCCACACAGGACTCTGAAGCACTGAGATCCCACGTACCATCGTGGTGCCGGGGGTCCCAGATAGCAGAGGCACATGGTTCCCCCGAGATGGATCTTGAGGCCTCCCCTAGCAAGTCTGATGCTTTTTTTTTCTTTTTCAGTCACACCCAGCGATGCTCAGGGGTTCTCCTGACTCTCTACTCAGGATCACTCCTGGCAGTGCTTGGGGGACCCTCTGGGATGCTGGGGATCGAACCCGGGTCGGCCGCGTGCAAGGCAGACGCCCTCCCTGCTGTGCTGTCGCTCCGGTCCAAGGCTGCTGCCTTGGCCACCGCGTTGCCCTGTGTTCCCCCAGTCAGCCTGATCCTTGAATTTTCCAGAAGGTTACGGTGCAGGTTCTTTGCCTGCTGGTTGCTTGTTTAGGCATTTACCTTAGGAAGTAGCAATACTCCCATCTGCTTCTCCGCTACCTGTAAACATGTCGCCTAAGAGAGTTGCTTTAGAACTTTGACCAGAGAACCATCTAGAAAGTATACTCTTCCCTAACAGCTCACTGCTATCCTTTAACTTACACCACTCAAATTAACTTGATGACATTTCAGTTTCATCTCAGTTTTATATTGGAAGGTTTTGGGGCCACACTCAGGGACTACTCTTGGCTGTATGCCTCAGGGGTCATTCCTGGTGGCGCAGGAGATTGAACTAGATTTGGCCAGGTGCCAGAGCCTTAACCCCAGTACTATCTCTCAGGCCCCCAAATGGGACATTTTAAAGGGAGACTACTTAATTACCCCTCCAGACTTAGTGTGCATGTTGTGATATGAAAACCTGGACACAACTTGGGGGCTGGAGGGATAGCACAGCGGGAAGGGCATTTTCCTTGCACGCGGCCAACCCGGGTTTGATTCCCAGCATCCCATATGGTCCCCCGAGCACCACCAGGAGTAATTCCTGAGTGCATGAGCCAGGAGTAAGCCCAGAGCATCGCCGGGTGTGACCCAAAAAGCAAAAAAAGAAAAGAAAACCTGGACACAACTTCTGTCCCAATAGCACAGTGTCTAATACCAGCTCAGAGCATGATAGCCTGGGGCCCCAGATGGATGTGGGCCATGGTGGGGCACATGACTTCATGTGCAAGGCTGTGGATTTAATCCTCAGCACCGCAGAATGGAACAGAAAAAAAAAAAGGTGGCATAATCATTAGAGGTCATTAGTTCTATAAAAGAGGTCCAGTTTTGGAAGTCCTCGTTTTTCCATATGCTTGATGACGAGGGTGATCATAAACCCCTAGGAAAAGTTGTCTTCTTAGAAAGCTGGGAGGATGAGTGTGAAGCTCTGAAAGCAGCCTTCTTTTTTTTTTTTTTTTTTTGCTTTTGCTTTTGCTTTTGCTTTTGGGATCATACCGTGTTGCTCAGGGGTTACTCCTGGCTCTGCACTAAGGAATTACTCCTGGAGGTACTCAGGGAATCCTGTGGGATGCCGGGGATCAAACCTGGGTCAGCCGCTTGCAAGGCAAATGCACTCCCTACTGTGCCATCACTCCGGCCCCCTGAAAGCAGCATCCTAAAGCCTATCTTTGACTTCCTTTGTAAGTTTGGTTTTGATGTTAGAACTGGAGATGAGACTTGTCTTTTTCACAAATGGTGATGGCAAGAAGCACGTGGACAGTCATGTTCAGCTGAGTCTGGTTTCTCGCCCAGAATGGCCGCAGTTGCGAGAGCTGCTACCTCCAGCTCCCGCGGGTCTGAGGCACCCACTTACCTTATAATTCTCCCAGTTTCTGAAGAAGTTGACAGAACCATCCATTCTTTTCTGAATGACAGTCCATCCCCCGGGATCCAGATTGTTCTCACACCACAACTGTGTGGGCCCGTTGCTGTTTTCAGGCTTAATCATGTAAATCCCGCTGACCGAATGCCCAGCGTCTTTCGCGTGCTGACAGTCTTTGAATGGTCCTGTCATTAAAAGAGCAATCACAGAGACTTCGTAGGAAAGGGGCTAAGGAAAATGTTTCTATACTCAGGCCAGAGAGAGAGTACAGCAGAGAGTACTGACTTGCTTTGCATGCAGACAACCTGGGTTTGATCCCCGGCACCCCTTAGGGACCCCTGCACCAGATGAGGAGTCATTTCTGAGCGCAGAGCCAGGAGTCAGCCCTGAGAATGGCTGTGTGGGACCCAAAAAGAAAAAAAAATCTAAATACCAACGCATTGCCAAGCCTTCTTTCTTCCTGACTTTATCTTTTCCTAACATAGAAACGCTGCAAGGCCCCTGGGTGCTGGTATACAAACATTGCTCAGGGTGCTTTTTTCCTTTGTCCCAAACAATAGTCCATAAGGCTGAAGTTGAGGAATGTTGGCAAAATGCCTTTCTGAAGCATCGTTTCCCTGCATATGACTAGTGATAATAATTTTCTTTTTCAGCTTACATAATAACCCTGTGATGGTTTACAGATGTTCTGTAGACGAAACAGTTAACTAGTGCGAGGTTTCGTGTGTGAGGAGATAATCAGCCCTCAGTCTAATCCATTCTTCCTCATCTCCGTGTCTGTCTTCTGACCTGCTTGAGAGAATCAACCTCATACTCTCTCTTTCCTCATTTATGGATTTTCCCCACAATTTCGGATCCAAAACTGATGTCTTCTACTTTTTCTATGACCCTCTTTTAGTTTCACCCTGCAACGCGTTGATCCTTTGTTCTTATTTTTTATTTATTTATTTAATTATTTTTGGGTCACACCCAGCGATGCACAGGGGTTATTCCTGGTTCATGCACTCAGGAATTACTCCTGGCCATGCTCGGGGGACCATATGGGATGCTGGGAATCGAACCCAGCTCGGGCCGCTTGCAAGGCAAAAGTTCTACCCTCTGCTATCGCTCCAGCCCCGTTCCTTTGTTTTTAAATAAGTACGCATTAATGATAACTGATTCAGAAATAGAGTAACTGCCCTAAGGAGATACTGGACCAAAAAACAAAAAAGATAGAGGATGGTTGTTTAAATTTCTATTCTGTTGGAATTTGGGGAGAGGGGGTGGGTTTGGGCCTCATCTGGTGGTACTTAGGGCTTGCTCTTGTCTCTGTGCTCAGAGATCACACCCGACAGTGCTCTAGGGAATATATGGGTTGCCAGGAATTGAACCTGGGTAAGCTCCTTCCCCAACGTGCTATCTCACTGGCCCTATGTTCGACAATTTTTAATTCTGACTTGTGTAATGTTTAGAATTCTGTGAAAGTATTTAGACAAGGAAGGTTCCTGCAAGAAGAGTTTGTACCATAACAGTGCTAGGATTGTTGAAACGGTGAAGAATGTGTTATCTCCCCCATGCCAAGTGTATGTAGGGCCCTGTTAGGCCCCTTTGGGGTGGACTTAATCTCATCAAATAAATACCTAGACAGTTACATCATTGGAGGGCTCGGGAGACGGTGAGCTCTTCCTTCTAGATTGCTCCTTGAGGACCAGCCTGGTTTGGGTTTTTTTCCAGCTTCATGTCATTGGTATTTTAACTATTAGTAGGCCATCAGTTGTTGAAGAGAATGGCTGCCTTGAGTTACCTTCTCATTTTAAGTACAAGGAAATCGAAAAATCACACACAAAGGTCAAGTGATCATCAGCTCACCGGTCAGGTTTTTAAGTTTCAGTGATCATTCTCTTTGTTTCCGATTTGTTTTGGGGCCACACCCCGTGGAGCTCAGGGTGTACTCCTGGCTCTGCACTCGGGGATCACGTCTGGCAGTGCTCAGAGGACCATGGAGGGTGCCAGCGAGTGAACCCGTACAGGTGCCCTGCCCACTGTACTATCTCTCCAGTTCTAGCTGCAAATTTTTGAAAATTAGAACACAGTGACTCTAAGACTGCTTGTACGAGTCAGAAAACTTGTCCAGGAAGCTGGCTTAGAGGTTGGGGCACAGGCTTTGCATACAGCAGGCCTGGGTTCCAACCCCAGCCCCACCATGGGCAAACCCCCAAGAGAGTACTCTGGAGCACTGCCAGGTAATGACCCTGGCTGGGGGAGAAAAGAGTACTCTCTTGGGTAACTTTTTTTTTTACCAGAGTAATCAAAGATTACCAATTTTTTTTATTGGTCCTAGAGTTTCAATTTCATTCGTCTTTTTTTAGTTCTCTTCTGAGACTTTCTGTCTTGCATTGTGAATGTATTTTCCTGTGAGCTATGATAATTCGCATTTTGTCTTGGGGCGACCTCGGGGAGGTAGCATGGGGAGGGTAACGCAAGGCATCTTCGGGGTTGTTCTGTGGTACCCCTTGTCCTCCCGAGTTTTGCCAGGTGCATCCCTTGAGGACCCTGAGCATCACCAAGTGGCCTGGTGGTCCCCTCCACCACAGGACCTGAGAGCACTGCATCCTCGGTCCCTTGCATGGAACTGCTCCCAGGCTGGCCAAGGATCACCAGGAGTGGTCCCGGGACCACCCCCTGAGCCCCACTTGGGAGGTCCCCCAACCCCCAGCAAAATTTTTGTGATCCTTCCTTTCCTAGTTGCTGATCGTGACCAAATTGTAGTTGCTTATTTGGTGATTCGAGCACCTTATTTAATAACTAGATGAGTATTCATGCATTTACTCACAGATGCATATATATCATTTCTGCTGGAGAGAAGTCATAGTCCAGTAGAACAAAACATTGCATTCTGCAAAATCACGCTCTTAAAGTCACAGCTGATGGTAGCTGTTAGCACACTTTGCCTTTAGCCGCAGTTGTTCGTGACAGGGAACATTAATATGCTGGGGTGGAGGGTGGGGGGCTACGCGATGCCATCTCTCTGTGTTACTGATGTTGTTTGGCATTTTCTGCCATCACATCTGAGCTGCTTCACAGGAGAGAAAGATGCTCGCGAGGACGGGGGTTAAGGCAGTTGCCTTGTGTGTGGGCCCGCCTGCGTCCAAGCCCCAGCAGTGCCTGACTCCTGTATGCAGAACCAGGAGCAAGCCCTGAACGTAGCTGGGTGTGGCCCCCAAACAGGGGCAAGGCAGAGAAGGGTGCAGAGGCTGCCTTTGAGAATGGGTTGCACTTAAATGCGGGAGTGATGGGAAAGGGAAGGTGAGGTATGATTTCTAGGTCCAGCTGTGATTATTCTGTGCACTATAATAGTTATCTTTTACCAGCAGAATCTCCCCATGGGGCAGGAGCTAAGTCTGGGTGGGGTCGTCACAGTTGAAGCCCAGTCAAGCACTCCAGTATGTAAGAAATGTCATTTTCTGGAGGCCGGAGAAGTAGCACACTGAGTCGGGCACATACACTCTTTGCACGCAGGTTTGGTCCTAACCCAGGTTTGATTTTGGCTCCCTAAAGCCATGCCAAGACTTGAACTGAACTCAGAGCCAGGCGTAGGCCCTCAGCACGGCCAGTCGTGCCCCACCTCAAAAATAAAAAAAGAAAGAAAGAAAGAAAGAAAGATTATTTTCTCTTCTCCGCTGGCTAGAAGCTATTTTCGGATCAAGGGGTAGAGAAACAGCCTTTGACTCTAGCCAGAAGCCGGGGAAGTGCAAAGCCTTTGTTGGAAGAGCGTGGGGGCTTGGGGATAACGGCTAAGAAAGAGCACCTCAAGGTCAGTAGTGTAGGGGGTCTCCCCCAGGCTGCCTGTGGCTGACACGGTCTTTAGAATTCAGTGGGCAGAGAAGTTCAACGTTTTCCACCTCTGCTACAGTGGCCGAAGGGGGTAGGAGCTCTGAGTACGCCTCAGGCTTGAGACTGAGGTCTCAGTGCTGCAAATTCAAGACACTGTCTTTCTGGCTGTTTTCCGGTTTTCTCCTTCAGAAGCATCAACTATCTGAGGAGCATGATCTTACATTAACATCTCTTTGTTGGGGCTGAGCGATAGTACAGCAGGTAGGGCGTTTGCCTTGCACGCGGCCGACCCGAGTTCCATTCCCAGCTTAAATATCTGAAAATATTAATATTCCCAGTTTGGAATGGAACTCGACTTCCATTCCCAGCTTAAGTATTCCCATATGGTCCCCCAAGTACCGCCAGGAGTAATTTTGAGTGCAGAGCCAGGAGTAACCCCTGTGCATCGCTGGGTATGACCCAAAAAGAAAAAAAATAAAATAAAATCTCTTTGTCTTGGCCCAGAGTGGCAGCACCGGAGCTTGATCCCCAGTGCTGCATCAGGCCCCTGATCCCACGAGTCATCTCTCAGTACAGAGCAAGAACACTGCCCGGTGGGGCCCCAAAACAAGTAAAACCTATATCTCTTCCCCCACCCCTGCTTTTTGGGTCACACCCAGCAATGCTCAGGGGTTCCTCCTGGCTCTGCACTCAGGAATTACTCCTGGTGGTGCTTGGAGAAGCATATGGGATGCTGGGAATCGAACCGAGGTCAGCCACGTGCAAGGCAAACGCCCTACGCGCTATACTATCGTTTCAGCCCCCAAAGCTTACGTCTCTTAATGTATTCCTTAGTGTTTAATGGCCACAGGAAATGTTTTGGTTTTTGTACACTTACTTTTCTTAGGAGTTCGCTTACTCCATGAATGTCCTCTTTGTACACTTTTGAGAATAGATTTGACAGTTTACGTGTTAGAGGAAGTACGTGAACTGGATTTCGTTGGGTTACTTGAAAGGTAGCTTTTGAATGTTGATGGCGTATTTGTAAAATTCTATTTGTTCCTTTGCTGCTATTTAATGGGCCTCCAGATATTTAAGCAATGTGGAGAGTAATAGATTTTCTAAATCCAAATTTGATTTGATAAAACTGTGCAAATTTTAAATAATCTTCATCTTTAAGTTTCAACCCATTACTTTGGTGTGGGCTTCCTATTTATAATTTGGATACCTATAAGATTTAGTTGATATAGAAACTTGGGAACATTTAGTTGAAATCCTTTTCCAGAACATCTGGATAACATTAACATGGCTTATAGTTACTTTCTCCTTCTCAGTAAGGTAGTATTAGAATTTAGCGCTTATTTATGTTTCTAAATAAACCATTAACCTTAGTCCAGTGTATGTTGTTGATCTTGGCAGAAATCTTTTCTCTTTATTATTTGCATATCATACTTTCTAAAACTCTAGCATTAGATTGTAAATTATTCTTACCAAATGTTTGTTGCTTTCTTTGCAACACTTTTAAAACAATGTTTAGTGAAAATTTCTCAATGAGAAGTAACAGTGATCAGCTCTCTTTTCAAGCAGTCTTCTCTGAATTGCTTGTGTGTTATCAGAAACAAATGGAGTGATACAAGATTCAGAAATCAGTTTGTGATGGTTGAAAAGTTTAGACTGGATATGCCTGTCTCTTCAAATAGGCATTGAGTGAGCCTGAAATCCTCATCTTCCGTCACCTATAATTAGATTCTTCTCAAGGAAGGAGACTGGAATTCTGTACATTGGCTTTATTTTTTAATTGTATTCATTTTGGTTTTGGGGGGCCACACCCAGCATGCTCACAGCTTATTCCTGGGTCTGTGCCCGGGGATCATTCCTGGCAATGCTCAAGGGACCAGGGTGGTGCCAGCCAGGGTTCAAATCTGGATGAGCTACATCCAAGGCAGGTGCTTGACCCACTATACTTTTCATTTTGGCCCTAGTACATTGACTTTATTTTTATCTATTTATTTTTGCTTTTTGGGTCATATCCAGCGATCCTCAGGTTCCTCCTGGCTCTGCACTCAGGAATCACTCCTGGTGGTGGTGGGGGAACCCTATGGGATGCCGGGCATCGAACCCAGGTTGGCGCGTGCAAGGCAAACACCCTACCAGCTGTACTGTCTGTTCGGCCCCACTACATTGACTTAGAGGCTCAATCTCTCTTCCTCAGTTGTCTGGGTAAAGTCTGTTTAGAGCCCCCCATTGAGAGGGAAAGTCTTGCCCTTATTGTCGTGGAGTTTTTCATTTGTTTTCTGACTTGGTTTCCATCCTGTGCTCTTTGTAATAAGAAAAACAAAGGCAACCAGTATTGAGGGCAGAAAAATCATGGGTTGGCTGGTAAACTCCTAAGAAACTCAGCTTTCAGTGGGGCGTGAAAGATTCTGGAACTATTCAGCCGCATTTGTGGAGATAGAAGCATGAGACAGATATATTAGGGGTTCGGGGTGGGGAGAAGGGGGCCAAGGAAAGAGGAAGGGGCACACGGCAACTGGAGTGCACACTCTATGGAGACACCCACCCTGAGACAAATATTTTCTTTTTTGTGGGGGAGGGCTTTTTGGATCACACCCGGCTATGCACGGGGGTCCCTTCTGGCTCTCCACTCAGGAATTACTCCTGGCAGTGCTCAGCAGACCATATGGGATGCTGGAAACCGAACCCGGGTCGGCCGTGTGCAAGGCAAACGCCCTACCCGCTGTGCTATCGCTCCAGCCTCCCCCCCCCAGACAAATATTTCTAAAGAACAGATTCTCTGTTTAAACTGCAATTAACATCCTGAGCTCATATTTAAATTACTGAAAAACGCACAAATATTTCATAACTGGTTAATAGAATCATTTAATAGCCCTTTGCTTAATGCGATTTTGTTTCTTTGTTTTAGTTTTAGTTAAATATAAGTGTTCCATTGAAACCAGTTGTATCTTCAAAACTAATAGGAAACAGCATAATTGAAAATAAGCCTGTTCCCTACTAAAAAAACATACTTTTGGTTTCTAATGATGACTTTTCCAATTTAACTTTTTAAGCTTACCTCCTGTGTCCCCGTGCACAGCAGAGGCAAGGCGCAGGTGGGGGAGTGTAGCCCCACAGTGCAGTAACTGACACTGGGCAGGCCACACACAGAGTATTTTCTTGTGCCTTCACCTCTCAGTTACCCAACAGTCAGCTCTGCACATGAGACTCTGGGCCTGGAGGAGCCTCCAGGAAGAACCTGGCTCGCCGGCACTCTGGGTCCCAGCCTGACACTGGGCTCTGCACCAGGAAGGAGCTTGCATTTTATTTTTATTTATTTTTCCTTTTTGGGGTCACACCCAGCGATGCTCAGGGGTTATTCCTGGCTCTGTATTCAGGAATCACTCCTGGCGGTGTTCGAGGGACCCTATGGGATGCCGGGGATGAACCCGGGTTGGCCGCATGCAAGGCAAACGCCCTCCCCGCTGTGCTATCGCTCCAGCCCTGGAGCTTGCATTTTGAAGACCCATTTCTGCAAGGCATGAGAGAGTAAAATGGGTCAGGTGCTTTCCTTGCATACAGCTAACTCGAGTTCGATTCCTGAGCACAGAACTAGGAGTAAGCCCTGAGCACTATGGATGTGGCCCCCAACTAAAATAATAATAATAAAAACATTTGGAAAGGTGTAATATTTTCTTTCAGAAACAACCTATATGGGGGGCTGGAGCAATAGCATAGTGGGTAGGGCATTTGCCTTGCACACGGCCGACCCAGGTTCAATTCCCAGCATCCCATGTGGCCCCCCGAGCACCGCCAGGAGTAATTCCTGAGTGCAATTCCAGGAGTAATCCCTGAGCATCACCGGGTGTGACCCAAAAAGGAAAAAAAAATTGTATCTTCAAACTGCAGTGCTGGGTAAAAGATCTGTGTTAATTAGATGCTCACAGGAAATGCAGCGGTATAAAAGGGCAGCAAACAAAACACCTACCCCCAGTGGACTGTTTCAGTGTTTGCTTTATGTTTGCTTGCTTGGTTGATGTTTCATTGGCCAGGTGGCCTGGTCACCCCACTAATGATTCTTGGCCACCTCGGCTGGTGGTTCAGAGCAAGGACCTGATGATGCAGTGCTTCTTGGCCCTGCTGTGCTGGGGGTTATCCAGACCACCTTAGCAGTGCCCAGGGATCAAAGCAGGACCAAGAGCTTGCGGGACAAGCACCCCAGCCTCTGTGCTCTCGCTCCAGCCCTTCTCAGCCCCCAGAGGCTGAGCACTGTCCACCCAGATTGACCCTGGTAAGCTGCTTAAGACATTGAAATGGGGCTGGAGCAATAGCACAGTGGGGAGGACATTTGCCTTGCATGCGGCTGACCCGGGTTCGATCCCTGGCATCCCATAGGGTCCCCAGAGCACCGCCAGGAGTGATTCCTGAGTGTATGAACCAGGAGTAACGCCTGTGCATCGTCGGGTGTGACCCAAAAAGCAAAGAAAAAAAAGTGGATTTCCTTCCCGGAGTATTCGGGATGCCAGGGAGACAGACACGCAAGGAAATCCCAGGGCACTGTGATTTGGGGGTGCTCAGACTCAGCGCTAGGGTGGGAAGAGTGCCATCCGCACGTGTTGGCTTGACTCTGGGGGCCATAACATCCCAGGCGGCACTTGGGGTTCGTCTTGTACCCCACTGGGTGGCTAGTTAAGCTGGGAGGCAGTGGCAACAGATGCTGGGCCGGCACTGACCAGAAAGACAGTGTCAGCTCCACGCCGGAGCCTCCTGAGCCACATGGGAGGTGTATGCATGTGGACATGTTTTCAGAGTCTGCAAACATGTTTCAAAATCAGTTCCTCGCAGAAAACCCTTTCAGCCAGAGGAGGAAGAGAGCCATAGAGACTCTGCGGAAGAAGGAAGACTTAGCGTGAGCGTGTTCTACTGGGGACAGGGGCGGAGGGGGGCACAGTAGAATACGGAGCCCTGCTAGGAGACATCATCCCCATAGGATGTTTCTTGCATGTCTGTGTTGTCTCTGAGGCTATTTCTTAGCCTGTGTGCAATCTTTGCATTACGCGAATGAGTAGAATTTATTTACCTTTAGACTGCTTTTGAGCATTTGGGTATTTTTTTTCCTTCACTCTAAAGAAGCCTTTTTGTAGATTTCGGGAGAATGGCAAAAGGGAATACAAATACCGGAAAAATTGCATGCACTTACAAAACTGCAGCAAAGATGAATTATTCATCTTTATATTCAAGACCGGGCACTGATAAGGAGTGACGGGAAGAGAGTGTGACATTAAAGAGAAGTAGGGATACTGGGACCAGGATATGGTTTTGGTTTTATAATATCAGTGAAGTGGTTTATACTTGCATGGGTACAGATTAAAACTCGGAGTTGATTTCCCCTTGAAAACTGGGCAGAGGGGGCTGGAGCGATAGCACAGCGCGGAGAGCATTTGCCTTGCACACGGCTAACCTGGGTTCGATCCCCGGCATCCCATAGGGTCCCCCGAGCACAGCCAGGAGTGCAGAGCCAGGAGTAACCCCTGAGCATCGCTGGGTGTGACCAGAAAAAGCAAAAAAGCAAACTGGGCAGAGGAGTGTTCCTCTCAGGACTGGGGGCAGGAGCCTCTGGACTTTTCGGACACGTTTTCAAGCCCGAACCATGGGCCCAAGCGTTCTGGCCATGTGCAGTGACGGAGAGGGACCAGGAGACCGCCTGGGACGGGCTGCAGGAGTAAGAAGGCAGATGAGTTCTTTGGAGGAGGCCAGGGTCACGGATCCTTCTAGAACATGACCCGCTGGAGGTTGGGCAGGGGCTGCTCCTGTCTCAGTGGGCACGACTTTGTAAGAAAGGGGGCGGGGTGGGGGGCTCACTCACCTTCGTTGATGAACGTTACCGGGGGGATCTTGAACGGGCTCTTGGTGGGTGCCGTGGCCACGTCCGGAGGCGGCACGAGGTCTCGGGGGTCGCCCGGGTCCCTCTGTATCTCGTTGCCACCCAGCAGGCCGGGGGTGTACTGGTGGCCGTTGGCGCTGTGCCGCGGCACCACCTGCACGAGCGGCGGCGCGGCGTGGGGGTCCCGCCGGGCGAAGACGCGCAGGCACTGCTCCTCCAGCAGGCTGATGGTCAGCGACTGGTTGTTGACGAGGTCGGTGAGCGACGCGTACTTGGCCTCCAGCTCGCGGTACCTGGCGGCCATCCGCAGCATCTCGGTGGTGGCGTTGAGGATCCTGTTCTCCAGCTGGGACAGCTCCAGGGAGTTGTCGCGCTTGCGGATGATCTCGTGGAGCAGCTGCATGTAGAGCTGCGTCACGCGCGAGTTCATGTTGCGGCTCTCCTTGCGCAGCAGCTTCACCTCGTTGACGATGTTGCCGTCCACGTCCACCACCAGCTGCAGGACGTCGATCTCCCGCTTCTGCCGGGACAGCACATCCTTGAGGTTCTCCAGGTCCATGCGGGTGATCATCTCCTTGAGGGCGCCCGCGCCCTGCCCTTTGGTGTTGACGCAGATGGGCCCCGTGATCTTCTGCTCGGGGACCAGGAAGGTGTAGGAGCACTTCTTGCCTTCCTCCTTGCCGTCGAGGGCCCGCGGGTATCGCCGCGGAGTTGTCTTTTTGGCCTTAAGCTGGCCGCCTCTGCCAGGCCTGGCGCCCAGGAGCAGAAAGAACAGCACGCCCAGGGCCCAGAGACCCGCCTTCATCTTGGAGGAGGTGGACGGAGGCTTTCGAAGAACAAACCAAGGAAGGGGCAAAAGCACAAAGAATTAATCTCGGGTTCGTGTCAGGCACGACTCAAGAGCGTCTAACAGGAAAGGTGTGACTCACTGTGTGTCAGAATCAACATTTCTGAAAGCCGTTGTCAGTACTGGGGCCTTCATAGTTCTGCAGGCTGCAGAGTCTTTTGCAACTGCCCCCAGTTGGTGCTTTTGGGGGCTCCCTTGCCCCCCCATGAATAGTAGGTTGGGTGAGAGGCCATTCCCCAGCATTGCTGGCTGCTGTCAGGGCTCTGCAGAGCCCCTGGGGTCTCCCCATGGCACACCCCAGAGATCCAGCGGCAATGCATCATGTGCTCATCCCTGACAATAGCTTCTGGTCCCTATTGCTCAATTTCTACTCTGCAGTTTCCATGAAATGGATGCTCTCGGCCGTCTATTTTACCTGACAGACTGAAGAACCATTGCTAGGGCAATCTAAACCCCCAGTTTTCATCCTGCGCTGCGTGGTTGGTTTTTGCAGTGTGCCCTTGGGGATTTGGAGCAGGTGTTCGTAGCCAGAAAGGTAAGAGTTACTACTGTAGGTGACGATGTTTCCTAGGCCCTCATCAGCTAGCCGTTCCAAGCCTCTCCTCACAAAAGTTCTGCTGAACTTCAGCAAAACTCTCCCTAGTCATGTGGCACTTTCACCAAGGGACAAAATGGCGTGTGACTGAATGTGCCTTGGACTGCACCTTGTTCAAAAGCCACGAGCCAGACCTCACACTGGGTCTCTGTGTCCAAGCAGTGTCATGTGTGCTGGTCGGGGCCCGTCCCTGCTGTGACCGGGGAGGACTTCCTCCCCTCTGCAGTGGTTTCTGGTAGGGACTCCAAGCCCAGGGACTGGGTAAGGTGTCCCTCTCCCAGGCCCACGACCAGGCTGCCCGGTACCACCAACCCACCGCCTCCCTCTCTCCACAAGAAGACACTTCCTTTTTTTTTTTTTTTTTTTTGCTTTTTGGGTCCCACCCAGCGATGCTCAGGGTTCCTCCTTGCTCTGCACTAAGGAATGACTCCTGGCAGTGCTCAGGGGACCCTATAGGATGCCAGGGATTGAACCTGGGTCAGCCGCGTACAAGGCAAATGCCCCCCCCCCCACTGTGCTATCGCTCCAGCCCCGAAGATGCTTTCCTGACCCACTCGCACCCAGTTCCTGCTTTCTCCTGGGTACCTGCCTTGCCACGGTCCCGGGTGCTGGTGCTTGCTGAGTGCCCTCCTGCCCACATCAAGCCCTCACGTCTCTGCCAGCCTCCACGGTCGGATGATTGCAAGCCCCATTCTTGGGTGCCAGGACTGCCCGCCCGAGGCCCACAGAGGCCTGCGGCGTCTAGAGGCGGAGCCGGGATGTGACCCCAGGCGGAAGACTCCAGACTCAGTGTTCTTAATTAGCCGCTTGAACCGCAGCCAGCCAGACAGCCACTTGTCTGTCACCAGCTCCCAAGTGAACCCTTGTACCCAGGATTTATGTCACGCTGGACTGCTGTTTGCTGCTGGTGTGCACGTGCCATCTTGCAGGAATGAGGTTCTGGAGAAGACTAGTACTCGGGCGGGATTCAGATCCGCTGCTTGACCCACTTCGAGACCTGAAAGTTCCACCTCGAGCGCCTAAGAACTACCCGAAGCTTTAATTCGGTTCCTGGTTTGCTTCGCTCTGTGTTGACCGTCACTAATCAAGCAGAAGTATGTGGGTTGTTTTTGTTGGGATGTTTCCATCCCTTTTTTTGGGTCACACCCAGCGATGCTCAGGGGTTACTCCTGGCTCTGTACTCAGGAATCACTCGTGGCGGTGCTTGGGGGACCTTATGGGATGCTGGGAATCGAACCCAGGTTGGCCGCGTGCCAGGTCAACGCCCTCCCCACTGTGCTATCACTCCAGCCTCTCTTTCCATCCTTTTTACACCCCAAAGTTCACCGTTCCTTACCACGCCTCTGCATTCCCTCTGTTGGTTGACATTCTAAACGTTGCCCGTGAACCTTTCAGCCTCGGCTCAAAACGACCAGGACCGCATAAGGCCGGGCTCCCGATGGGCTGTGTTTAAGATCGTGAGTCTTTTCAGCGCGGCTTGTTAATGAGGACCAGAGAGCGTGAAGAGGGATGCTCTTACAGACACAATCAAGAGAGAAGGGAGAAGCGTGTTCACTGATGGCCTCAGCACTCCTGAATGAGTTTTCCTACAGTTCCTCTAGTTGACTGAGAAGTCAGCCCTGAAGAGTCTGCAGGACTAAGTCTACTCGAGTCACCCCTGCCCCAAAGCCGTCAAAAGGTTCCTCATGGTATTTATGGATTCAGGGAATTCACTGTGGCTGATCAACAAGCTGAGGACAGGATGAGAGAATCTTCGGCCTCCTTCCAACAGTAACTTGGAGCTCCTCGCCTCTCATTTCCCTTTAATCAAAAGTGGAACCTCTGTGCTCACAAGATTGTCCCATTCATCTTCTCCAAAATGACCTCCCCGAGTCCAGGAAAATTCAGAAAGTGTCGTGAAACTTGAAAAGGACTCTTCTGTTTTGACCAAACATCTTGTACCCCTCCCACACAGCTTTTCATGCAGTAGCTGAGAACATGTTACCCGGGAATGCGATCATGTCTGCCTCGGTGTTGTAATGGAGGAAAAAAGCTCCCAAAAACCTGGAACCTGGGGCTGGACCGAGAGCACAGCGGGGAGGGCGTTTGCCTTGCACATGGCCGACCCGGGTTCGGTCCCCAGCATCCCATAGGGTCTCCCGAGCACCACCAGGATTGATTCTTGAATGCAGAGTCAGGAGAAACCCCTGAGCATCGCCGAGTGTGACCCCCCCCCCCAAAAAAAACAACCAGGGACCAGGGCTTAGTTTGACCTGGGGGTTTGGCACCCCCCCCCCAAAAAAAATAAAAACTGGGACCAGAGAGAGAGCACACAGAGATTAAGGTACTTCCCTCGTATGCCAACCCCAGTTCGCTGCCCAGCACTGCATGTGGTTCCCTGAACACCGACGGGTGTGGCCCAGAGCACAAAATCACCTACTGCAAATCCGGATTCTGTGGCAGTTGCTTCTTTATGGTACCTCTGCCTTAAACTCTTCATGGGCTTCTGTACAATTAGCGCATATGATAAATCCTTGTCTAGTTTTGTGGGTTTTTTTTAATCACTACAGTTCGTTCCCTTATCTTTATATAGAAGTCTGACTTTGTCATCAGACCTAAGGCAGAATAAGGCATTGGTTAAGTAGTAGGTAGATAGGCCACATCATGAGGAAAGAGCAGGCTTAACATACGCTCACTGTCACCTTGTCTGCAAACATTCTCTCATTTCATATTTTCCCACGTGTTCAGCTTTAAAAGTGAAAGATCCATAAATCTGCGTTACCTCATAAAACCTTTCTGTATATGTTAAAATTTTCCTAGGTCTCAGGAGAATGTTATAAATTAGTTACAGTATAGCTGAAGTTTAAATCTAAGCCGGTGCGGGGTGGCTTTGGGGAGGGGTAGGGGGAAGTCTTGCAAACTTTGGGCTAATTTCATAGCTGCTGCCAGCCGGGGGGGGGGGGGGGGGAGAGACAAAATGTCTGAGAGGGTCTTTACGTGGCTTTGTTACTCCCTGGAAACTGCGAGAGACCAGGGTCTTGAGCTTGCTGGGAAGTACGTCTGGAAAGAGACTTGTTTGATGGGGCTGGAGTGATAGTCCAGTGGTTAGGGCATTTGCCTTGCACGCAGCCAACCCAGGTTCAATTCCCAGCATCCCATAGGATCCCCCAAGCACCGCCAGGAGTGATCTTGAGTGCAGAGCCAGGAGTAACTCCTGGCATTGCTGGGCATAACCCAAAAAGCAAAAAAACAAAAAGAGAGAGATTTGTTCGAGTTGTTTAAGGGAAGGGCAGTGTCCTCTGCGTGTGATCTGTGGGTCCCAAGTGACAGGCTTGCACTGTCTCTGGCCCTCAGAATAAAATACTTACAGAAACATCTTGTATATCATTGCTGTAAACAGGCTCAATATTGGGTCTTTCGGTTATGTTTAAATCGTTGGTGCTTCCGGGCTTTTGCCTGTTGGTTAACGCTAGCGACTCAGAGGACACTTTTGTCATTTTTATTTACTTCAGTGCAATCGGGTCTTCCTTTTTTAAAAATGTCCTACTGATTTGACCTTTCCAAGTAATGCCATTTGTTGCAGGTCTCATTTGTTAGCCCGTTTAAATGGTTTTTACTGGTCCACCAGAAAAAGGAAAAGAAAATTGCAATTTTGAGCTGTAGCAAGAAATACCAGAGATTTCTCTGAAATTCTTACAAGGAATTCTACTTACGATTCAGTTCTACAGGAGGAGTTGTCAGAGCCGTTATTCTGGATTCGATTAACTGTTTGCAGGCTCTCCCGCGTTCTTTGACAGCACCCGTAAATCTCCGTGGCGCTCACACATGCCCTGCTGTTTCCTTTCGTTTGTCCCCTTTGTTTTGAATTGCTCATCTATTGATTCTGGGCATTTAACGGTCGGTGGTTGAAAGTTGTCTCCTGTTTTCCCAAGCCCAGCCCTGTGCCTCGTCTCTGTCTAAGCCTTCAGACCCTCCGCCGACCAGTGCTCACCTTGGAGCAGTTTCCACAGGAAACTGCAAAGCCAAACCTATTTCGGATGAGATCAAATGTTTTCCAGAACTCTCCCAGTCCAAACTACAAGATTCTGACATTTCTGCAGGAAACGCGAGGGACGTTTCCAGAAAACTGCATCCCCACAGTGAATAAGTGGAAGGCAGAGAAATAAGAGCGAAGTACCTTTCCGCACTCACGGCTCCCGTGCTACTCAGCAGAGTGGGCGCTCGGCGTGGGCCGCCAGGGGCAGCGACATGGCTGGAGGTGGCTGTGGGGTACGGCTCGCTCCCCACTCCCCAGCAGAGCAGCGCTGAGCGTCTGCCGTCCCGCCGCGAGGGCGCTGTGGCTTGGCTCAGCCCCTGCACAGCGTCGCTCTCCGCGCTCCGCTCAGCCCACACGTTACGTCACCCGGCATTGCTGGAGACGGGGGAAATCTCCTCCTTAGGATTTCCTCTCCGTGGCCTGAAATAGGGGCCGGGAGATGGGGGGGTGGCGGCAGGGGGTGCAAGAGGCGCGGAGCTGGGAACAAGGAGGGCCTGTGCGGCCGGACGCCGGAAGGCACCATCTGGAAACAAACCAGCCGCGCTCAGCGCCACTTCGGAAACCAGCGTTCCCGGCTGCTGGCCTGCGCACCGGTGGGTGCGAAGCTGGGGAAGACTCGGCTTCACCCAGGGGGGCGCGGGCTGCTGGCTTTGGTCCTTCGTCTTGGTGTGGAGGCATCCCCCTCACCCCCCGCCCTGAGATCTCCATCTCCTTTCCCTAATAGTTTGAAGCCCCCCGAGAAATCTGATGCTGTAATGTTATCTTAGGTGTGGTTTGCTCAAACTGCTTTATACGGAATAACCAAAAATAAACGGGGAAAATACATAAAAAAAAGAAAATCCCTTCAGAAGTTCATCCGCTTTCCAAGCTGGTGTTCTGTAACGGCCTCTGTTCGACAGCACGCGCCTCCTGTCAGAATAAGGTCGCTCTTGTTCGTTGGTGCGTTATAATTTGCCAGTGAACGTGACGGCGGGCGTTCCTCACGCCCTGTGGGACACCCCTCCCTCTGGTACAGTTCTCCTGATTGCCTTTAGGGTGCCTTTGGGGTTACTGTGTCAGCCTGGGGATCACCCGATTCAGATGCTAACAAGGGGACGTGGTTTAGAGACCTCAGTAATAGGGCTGGGTATGCTGCTACTCGCTGGTCACTGCCTGGTCTTCCCCGCTCGTGTCCCATCAGCGTGTGCTGTTTATCTTTCTGGCTGGCCACCAAGTGTCTGTCTCTGTGATTCCCTCTGCTGGCCGCTGACCGCCTAAGATCAAGGCACGCGCTCTTCTTCCCTCTCAGCCCCTTGTCTTCCTGTTTTCCCTTTCTCACAGACCATCAGCCTGTGTGTCACTCCACGGGCCTTCTTTAAGGTGTGGGCTTAGGGGACTGGAGCGGTAGCACAGCGGGGAAGGCGTTGGCCTTGCGGCCGACCCGGGTTGGATTCCCAGCATCCCATAGGGTCCCCCAAACACCGCCAGGAGTAATTCCTAAGTGCGGAGCCAGGAGTCAGCCCAGAGCATCACCGGGTGTGACCCAAAAAAGCAAAAAAATAATAATAAAAGTTTGGGCTTAGTTTCTACCTCTCAGACAGACCTAGTTATTACTATTAATTCCAGATGATCTTCACGGGCAGGATCAGATTCAGCACCTCTAAGGCTCTGTGCCCACAACAGGAAGGTGAGGAAGTGACTTGGCATGGAAGTAAGACAAAAAGGAGGTGGGCTGGAGTGATAGCACAGCGGGGAGGGCGTTTGCCTTTCACACCACTGACCCTGGTTCGAGTCCCAGCATCCCATAGGGTCCCCCAAGCACCTCCAGGAGAAATTCCTGAGTGTAGAGCCAGGAGGAACCCCTGTGCATTGCCGGGTGTGACCAAATAAAGAGACAAAAAGGAGGGCCGTGCTGAGCTGAAGTCCCTGTGGCTGTAGCAGGGCCCCAGCACTCTTCCGGACCCTACCTCGGGCGCAGACCTCCCCATTCTTTGGGAGAAGACAGTGAATGACCCAGGAAGGTTTTCCTGCGTCTCAGAATCCTGGGCAGTTGAGGCCATCACTCGCTCTCAACGCTTTTGTTTCTGTTTTTGGTTTTTTGACCATACCCAGTGGAACTCCAGGTCTGACTCCTGGATCTGCGCTCATGGGTAACTCCTGGTTGGCTTGGGGGACCCTGTGGGGTGCTGCGTGCATGGCCAGCGCCCTCTGGCTCTCCCGGGGCTTCTTAAGGCGCCTCGCCATTTAGGCATCTCATGAGTTAAGGATGGAAACCGGAGAACCTGGGGGACAAACAGGGATTGGTTGGATTCGTTGGATTCCAAATGAGGGGCAGCTCGTTTCTCCAGAGACTGAGGGTCATCTGCATTCAGGGATGGCTGAAGCTCCCAGGAGTGAGACAGTCCAGGAATTTTGCGCAGAGGGCTGACAGAATTGGCGAGATTGATTTTTGATTTGATTCCCAGGGAGCGGCGAAGATGCAGAGGGTGTTTCTTTAAACCAGGGGGACTTAGGGGCTAGACGGGAGGGACTAGTCTGCCGGCGTTAAGCAGCAGGAGACCCGGAGATGTTCACAGGGAGGAGGAGGAGGGTCGTGGAGGCCTGTGTGAGAATAAGATTCTGCAGTGGCTGCACGGGGTGTGGGGAAAAAAAACCCAGATGGGGAAAAGGATGGAAAAACGTCCGTAGAAATTTTGACTGCTCGGGGCTGAAGCAATAGCACAGTGAGTAGGGCGTTTGCCTTGCACGCGGCCGACCCGGGTTCGATTCCCAGTATCCCATATGGTCCCCTGGGCACCGCCAAGGGTAATCCCAGAGTGCAGAGCCAGGAGTAACCCCTGTGCATCGCCGGGTGTGACCCAAAAAGCAAAAAAAAAAAAAAAAAAATTTGACTGCTCGATCTCATTATTAAGGAAGGAAAAGAATGAGAAACTGCGGCAGGAATGACAGTCCAAGGGGTAGGGCGTTCGCCTGGCATGTCGCCAAGCTGGGTTCAGCCCCTGCACTCAGAGCCAGGAATCAGCCCTGGGCGCTGCCAGGTGTGGCCCCACGCCTCCCCGACCCCCCCAGATAAGGAAGTGATAAATCACAAATGTGAGTCAAGTACTTGCCAGGTACCGCGTTGATATGGGAATCAGAAGCTACTGGAATCGTCACAAGAGGTGACTCAGGCAGCGCGAACAGCCTGGCGTCGGGAACACAGAAACTGGGCGTCTGTCGGTCCGCACACGGGAAGACTTTTAGTCCCAGCGTCTAGCTCCTTACCCTCTTAGGACTCAAAGGATACGCGCCCCCCCCCCCAACGCCCCAGTAGTGCTCAAAGGGTTTTTTGGGGGTGAGGGGGTTGGAGGGGGCATATGCGTTGCTGGGGCTTGAACTGGCTCACATTGCGCGCCCCCCCCCCCCCCCCACACACACACACACATCCTCTCTCTGGCTCCGCTCCCTGTTTCAGTCTTTCATGATTTTCCTGACACTCCTGAACTCTGCATGTGGAGAGAAAGCACGAGAGAGACCTGCCATGGAGGCAGGGTGGGGGTGATGGGAGGGAACCCAGGCACACTGGTACTGGGAAACGTACCCGGTGGAGGGCTGGGGGTTGGAGCACTGTATGACCGAAAACTAATCACGAACAGCTTTGGAAGGGTCTGTCTCACAGTGATTCAGTAAAAAGTCTTTAAGAAAATCATTCATTCTGTTTCTCTTGAATGATAGTTAGGGTGAAGGGGATCCTATTTGAAGGGGAGGTTTTCTCAGCAATGGCTGAGTGCAGAGGCAGCCGGGGGGCTGCAGAGAACCCCACTTTAGCCTTGGAGACGAGGAGGAATAGTCTGCCCAGGGACCAGAGCTGAAGCTGTAGACCCATTGGGATCCCCAAGACTGAAGCCCGCTGCAAGGCCCGTTCCACCCTTCTCAGCGCACTGGCCTTGGAGGAAACGTGGAGAGTTTGTGAAGGAAACGCATTGCTGTGCTTCAGCGAGCTAATGGTCTTGAAGACAGAAGTACGGAAGGGGAGCCACTGGGGGGTTGGTAGAGTGGTGTCGTGAATCGGTGACATTGTAAAGGACGCGGGCACAGAGCAGATGCACTGCCCATGTCCTCCAGGGACCGCGAGCCTCAGGTATCCGCCTCTACTCGAATGCTTCTGAATCCCTTTCTTGGCTTTTTGGGAGAACCACTGACCCCTGCGCCAATAAGGTGTATCTGGATGGGCCGAAATGGGTCCAGGAGGCTCGCCAGTGGACAGATCCGATGTTCAAGTAGGGAAGCGTCTTTTCATCTCTGACTGCAGTTTCCTTTCTTACACATTCTCTGTGTGTGTGGTCACAGGCAGTACCCTTGCTGCGCGTTCAGAAGACCCGTCAGGGTACGCGGTGTAGTATAGTCTTTCAGTAGGACAGAGAAACAAAATACCTCTTGTGGGGTGGGGGTGAACTTGTATCACAGGAACTAATTCAGAAATCCAGTTGTTGACTTTCAGGTTTTTTTTTTTTATTTCGTTTTGGGGCCACACCCAGCAGTAGTCAGGGGTTCTTCCTGGCTCTGCACTCAGGGATCACTCCTGGCTATGCTCTTGCCATTCAAACAGCTCTTTCTATGAAGGAGACACTTTGCAGTCATTAGGGCTCCTTTGATAATTGTCAGCTCTAGGCACTGGGTAGAGGCAAGTAAGAGGGAGTAACCGATTTTTGCTAGTCCCTTAGTGCCTGTACCAGGCCTCTGGAACCACAACGCGACAGAGTGATGAGGAGCTGGTGGTGGAGAGGACCAGCAGCATCTGCGGGAGCACGGAGAGTCAGGGCTTCTGCAGGAATCAGAGCATCCAACTCTAGCCCCTGGTCATACCCAGAAAGGCGTTGTAAAAAGACAGTCAAGGGGACTGGAGCGATAGGACAGAAGGAAGGGTGTTTGCCTTGCACGCAGCTGACCAGGGTCCGATCCCTGGCATCCCATATGGTCCTATATGGTCCCCCAAGCACTGCAAGGAGTAATTCCTGAGCACAAAGCCAGGAGTAATACCCCTGAGTATCACCAGGTGTTGCCCCCCCCCCCAAAAAAAAAGATATTTCCAGAAAATCTAATTCACGCGTCTCACTCTACCTTCACCAAAATGTAGGCTTCAAGAGTGACGTCTGGGGGCTGGAGCAATAGCACAGCAGGTAGGGCTGTTGCCTTGCACACGGCCAACCTGGGTTCGATTCCCAGCATCCCATATGGTCCCCTGAGCACCGCCAGGGGTAATTCCTGAGTGCAGAGCCAGGAGGAACCCCTGTGCATTGCCGGGTGTGACCCAAAAAGCAAAAAATAAAAAGAGTGTGTCTGGGCAAAGCAGCGTAGAATAACATGTGTATTCTGAGGATGCCGGGCAAAGCGAGAGAGCCATCTCCCCCTTTGTGTCCTCTATTCCGAGCTGCAGTTCTCATCATGCTCCTTTCATTCCAGGTATCTATTTGTCAGATTTAACGTACATCGACTCAGCATACCCGTCAACTGGCAGCATTCTAGAAAATGAGCAGCGATCCAATTTAATGAATAACATCCTCCGGATCATTTCCGATCTACAGCAGTCCTGTGACTACGGTGAGTCTCGGGGGACCGGCCCAGCCACCCTCTGCTGGCGTCTGGCCCCTCCGACCTGAGCCAGTGACTTTGCAGGAACTGCAGTTTCTCAAAACTTTCCTCACTGCCCAGGTCAGCAGGGAGCACCTGCTTCAGATCCTACTTCTTAAGACACATCTAACATGTTTTTTCTACCCTTTTCTTTCTTTTTTTTTTTTTTTTTTTTGCTTTTTGGGTCACGCCCAGCGATGCTCAGGGCTGACTCCTGGCTCCGCACTCAGGGATCACTCCTGGCGGTACTCGGAGGACCCTATGGGATGCTGGGAATCGAACCTGGGTCAGCCGCGTGCAAGGCAAATGCCCTACCCGCTGTGCTGTCGCTCCAGCCCCTTTTCTACCCTTTTCATGGAGTTGTGCTGATAAAAGTATTTTCCTTCTCTTCATCCCACTTGGTTTCCCTGCTCCGTCAGGGCAAGTAGGTGTGAGATTTCTCAGTTCCAGGAGTAGAGCTGAGACATTGATCGTAAGCAAGTAGGCCAAAGTTTTCTTTGTTTTTTTTTTTTTTTTTAATGTAGGAGTATTGCTATTTATTCAGCCATTGATTAAACTTATTGAAGTGGGCATGAACTCCACATTATTTTTAATTTTTTTAATTGGTCACAAGATAATCATTACAAAGCTGTTCATAATTGGGTTTCCGTCACACAGTGATCCAGCACCAGTACACATTTCCCACCACTGATGTCCCCTGTTTCCCTGCCATCCACCCCTTAATGCCCCACCCCCACACCCCCAGACTCCGCCTAGGGGAGGCACTTCATTTCCTGCGCTCTCTCTCTCCTTTTTCTTTCTGTGCATTATGGTTTGCAGTACAGGTGCTAAGAGGTCGTGGTGTTTGTTCAGGGCATTCTGTATTTTTATCAGGACTGGAGTAGCTTTTTAATTGGGGTGGCAGCTTTAGGGTGTCCATGTGAATGCCAAGACTTCTAGAAGTATAGGGAAGTAGGGGGAGGTAGCCCATCCTGACCCTAAGAAAGCCTGGAGATTTCAGTCACAAAATCCACATACCTGAATTTTCAGCATATTATGTCTTGGTGAGGTCCGTCCTGAGAAGGTGGAATCAGGCCAGGGGTACGGCTGCGATTTTGCATTGTGGAAGCAAGTGGCTGTCAGGGGCTCTGCTTGGGCAGGCTCCAGGCTGACCTGTCCTCCTCCGATTTACCCTGGTCTGTTCTGCCATGCACAGGTCCAAGATTAACTGTGGCTTTTGATCCCTTTCCAGATTTATTTACGGGCCTCTGAAAAAAAGCCAGTAAGTGAATTTGTATAGCTGAGCCAGACGGAAGTGGTTTATGGGCCTGGCTCCCACATACCTAACTTTTTAATTTCTTGCACTTGGTCCCAAGTTGTTGGGTCTGGCCAAAGGCACAGTGGCAATTTCAGGGTTTCAGAAAGCCTGAAGGCACCATCAGGCTGCTGATGCACTCACCCTGCAGGTACAGGTTGACCTGCTGGTGGCACCACACCCCCACAGGCCAAAGTTCTTGAAGCTGATGTTGAGGAAATGCTGGTTGTTGCCTGAGGTGCATAGTAGGGAGCCACAGAAAAAGCACTTGAGTGAGCTCAGATGATTTGAAAATAGTTTTTCACCGTTTTGTAAAACATTTCCATGCTGGGCCTGGGAGCAACTCAAAGGACAGAGCACAAACCCTGAGCACTGCCAGGAGCAGTGCAGAAAGCCACTGGGCATGGCCCAGAAACCCAGTGATCCTTTGGTGGATAGGGAGTAGGGAGTATAGAAAGATAGGCTGTGGAGATGTATAATGTCAGGGTTTAAAAGGCAATGCCTGGAGCTAGAACAATTAGCACAGCAGGTAGGACGTTTGCCTTTCACAGGTTCGATTCCCAGCATCCCATAGGGTTCCCCAAGTACTGCCAGGAGTGATTCCTGAGTGCAGAGCCAGGAGGAACCCCTGAGAATCACCAGGCAGGACCCAAAAAGCAAAAAAACAAGGGGGGGGGCTGGAGAGAGAGCTCAGTGGACTGTGCATGAAGCAAGCCTGAGTTCAGTCTCCGACACTGGTGGCTCCTGAGCACAGTGGAATGCCTCGTGGGCCAGAGAGCTGGTACAGCGATTTGGGTGCTTGCCTTGCACACAGCTGATCCAGGTTCAGTGCCTACACCATGTCTGGTCCCCCAAGCAGTGCCATGTATGTGTCCCTTCCCCCCAAAAAAGAAAGAATGCCTCCAAAGGAACCACCTTTTATATTACGCACTCACATGAGATTTTAGTGGAAATCACCATGAAGGCTTTGTGAGTTTCATTTCCAGTTAAAATCTTCAGGTATATCTTCTAAGTGGAGCTTTTATTAAAGTCTATACAAGCAGCATCTAATTGTAATTCTCCAAACTGCCTTCAGTTTTACATTAAACAGAAGTTCTTTCAGTAATGTCCTTCTGGATTTCATTTAAATTTTGCTGCTGATAAGCCTTAATTTACCTTGAAGTCTATTTCCTTAGTGAAGATGTACCTTATTGGTTTATTGTTAATCATAATGAATTTTTATGTTTTCCCCAGACATCCCCATGTTGCCTCATGTCCAGAAGTACCTGAATTCTGTGCAGTATATAGAGGAGCTGCAGAAGTTTGTGGAAGATGATAATTACAAGTAGGTTGGCTCTTCAAATACGAAAATACGATTGGGCTTTTTGGGGGTTTTGTTTTTGTTTTTGTTTTTTGCATTTTGAATCACACCCGGGCAATGCCTGAGGGTTACTCCTGGCTCTGCACTCCGGGATCACTTCCGGTGGGCTTGGGGACCATATGGGGTGCTGGAAGCTGAAACCAGGTAGGCCACCCTTGGTGTTCTGAGGTATACAACACAGCCTCCAGCACCCCATGTGGTCCCCATATGGGTTTGGACAACACCAAAAGTGCCATCCCCAGCTGTTTTAATATCCTATCTTAAATATCTCTTCCAATCATTTCTGCCCACAAAACTCATCACTCTAATAAATTATTGTGAACTTTATTAAAAATGAAATTTAAAAATAAAAAAAGAATCATCACTTTTTCTGTGAAACTGGAAACTGCAGATTATCCTAGATGGAAGTTTCTACCAATAATAAACTTTGACCCAGCGCAGTCATTTAGAAAGAGTTTTGCAAACAACCTTTTATTCGTACCCATTCTTGGATGGTTGCTTGTGTTTTAGGTATCTAGTTTTAAATGGAGCGATAGCACAGAGGGGTAGGGCATTTACCTTGCATGCAACTGACATGGCTGACCCAAATTTGATTCCTCTGCCCCTCTTGGAGAGCCGGGCAAGCTACCAAGAGTATCTCGCCTGCACGGCAGAGCCTGGCAAGCTCCTCATGACGTATTCGATATGCCAAACACAGTAACAAGTCTCACAATGTTACTGGGCCCGCTCGAGCAAATCGATGAACAACGGGAGGACAGTGACAGTGACGGTTTTAAATGAGGTGGTTTTTAATTTCAGTGTTTACAGATGCCCTCAAATCACCTACTGAAGGTTTAGGAAGAGTTTTTATAATAGAGTTAATAATATATGAAAGTTGCTGAATGTAAGTTAAGGGTCAACTACAGTATGATACCAAGTTTGATTGTCTTTTAGTCATTCAGCAAATACCATCCATTGATTTTTTTTAAATTATTTGACAGTGTCGGGTAGTTTGGGGAGAATTATCTATTTTTAAGCATGAGTTTTTATTTTCTCTAATATTTTTTAGACTAACTGTAAAGCCAACTAATGCACAAAGAATGTTACCGAGTGCTGGGATTATTTTATATAAATCCTTTTGGCTTTGATGAGAAAGTGTGATTTTGATGTTGTATCAGATCTTAATCTTTATGTGTGTGTTGTTTTTCTTTGCTGTTCAGACTGTCACTAAAGATAGAACCAGGAACCAGTACCCCTCGTTCTGCTGCTTCCAGGGAAGACTTAGTTGGTGAGTGATGCTTCTCGCTCATCACCCAGTACCCAGACAAACTCATCAGGAATGTACTTCAAAGGAGATAAATGCTTGCCACGCTCTTCGCTGTGTTCGAAAACATCTTTTTGATAATAGATCGATGCTTTTTTAAAAAATTTATTTGAGAGTGCTTACTTGTAGTTTGTTGGTGATATACCAGCAAGCAGTCAAGTCTAACCAAGAAAGTCAGATCCAGGGGCTGGAGCGAAAGCACAGTGGGGAGGGCGTTTGCCTTGCACCCGGCCAACCCCGGTTCAGTTCCCAGCATCCCTTATGGTTCCCCGAGCATCACCAGGAGTAATTCCTGAGTGCAGAGCCAGGAGTAACGCCTGAGCATCGCCGAGTGTGGCCCAAAAAGCAAAAGAAAGAAAGATGAATTCAGGCAGAGCTGCAGCTCTGCAGCACACAGGCCCCCAGTTCTGTCCCTGCCAGCTGTGCCCAGGGCCCCCTTACAGCACCTCTAGTCCCCAGTAGTGCTGAGAGGTAGCCTCAAAGGAGAAGAAAATGAGAAAATCCAAGGGGAGTGCATGAGAAGACTCTGCCCTAGGTTGGAGGGCGTATCCTGCATGAACACGCCCCAGAATGGTTTGGAGGCCCAGTTGGTGGTGGGGATGAAACTCAGGCATCTGCAGGAGCTCTGTGGAGATGGCCAGGAACGGTCCGGAAGCAGGAAGGAACGAACACTCCCCTCAGCTAGGAAGGTGCTTTACACTGATTTCTCCTTTGCGTGGAAAAAAAAATGTGCTGATTTGAATCACTGTAGGAGATAGTTTTATTGACTTGATGTCTTTAAATTTTAGTGACAGGGTCAGGGATGTGAGTGAGTTGGTGAAAGCGGGGCGCCATCCCTGATACATCCTACCCCCCCCCCAGCACTCCCTGGAGTGACCCCACAACAATGTCACTTGTCATCCCGTTGATCATCGATTTGCTCGAGCGGGCACCAGTAACGACTCCATTCGTCCCTGTCGCATGCTAGCGTAGCCCAGTGGCGTATTGGGAGCTCTTTCAGGGTCAGGGGAGTGAGGTCCATTAATGTTACTGTTTTGGCGTATCGAATACGCCACAGGGAGCTTGCCAGGCTCTGCCGTGCCCCACAACAATAGCAATGAAAAGTATATATATATATATTTTTTGCTCTAATACTAGACTGAGAGCACTGAAAATACAAATGGTTATAGATGCTCCTGTCTTCTTTGCGCCTCCCCCCCATAAGCGATGCTCAGCCATCAGCCATCCCAGCTGTTGGAGGGACCCTGCAGAGCCCATGGTAAAACCCAGAGCATGCCCTCCATCCTGGGATCGTACCCCAGCCCTCAGAATTGCTGACTTTGGTAGCGTTATAAAGGGGATGTTCCGTATGAAATGTACAGCACACAGCGTGAGAGGCACCGGACAGCAGCAGTGCCATGCTTCAAGAAGTCGCTAATCAGCACCTTTTCCAAAAAAAAAAAAATCAAAATAGACCTTGGCATTAAGCCCCAAATGATTCTGTTCTGAACCACTCGAAAGCTCATCTCACAAACTAATGTTTCTCGGGTTCCATCCGTCCGTGAACTAAGACCACATTCCATAGCTTCAGAAAACAGACTCTGCTCACGTCGAGACTGATGGGCTCCCAAAACGCGCCGTTGTCAACTTTCTTTCCGCTTGGCCCCTAGGTCCCGACGTCGGCGCGTCCCCGCAGAGCGGACGCAAGAGTGCCACCGCCGAAGCAGCCTTGCTCCCCGCCACGCCACCCTCCCCACGGAACCTCATCCCCCACGGACACAGGAAGTGCCACAGCTTGGGCTACAAGTCAGCCTTCTCCTTTCTCGTCTAGTCACTGGCAGGGTTTCCCCTCGTATCCCCCCGCCCCCCAACTTACTAAGCGTTAGAGGTGTTTTTGCATATTTTGCACTCCAGTAAAGCATTGTATGCCCAAAAGCTTGTTTCTACCTTAATCTTAATTTGGAAATGAGCTTTATAGTTTACAATGCCTTTGACTTATGGGTCAGATGATTATCATAAATCAGACGTCAAGGTCGTTGTTTTTTTTAACTGCTACAAACATGGGTCTTTAAATTTTGCTTTATTCCTAGCTGCAATGAAAAAGAAGCATTTTTGTTAAATTTCAGGAGATTTGTGGGCTGGAGTGATAGAACAGCCAGTAGGGCATTTTGCCTTGGCATGCAGCCATTCCAGGTTTGTTCCTGGCACCCCATCTTGTCCCTCAAACTCGCCAGGAGCAACCCCTGAGCAATGCTGATTTGACCCAAAAACCTAATAAAAGATTGTGAGGAATTTTTTGTGGGATTTTTGTTGTGAGGGGCGGGCAGGGTACGGCACATGCAGTAGTGCTCGATGATCACTCACTGGGCAGTGCTTAGAGAAACGCGTGGTTCTGGGATCCAAGTCTGGCCATCTGTGTGCAAAAACAGAGGCGCTCAAAAGTTACCTTCCAGGCTGAGATTAGTATCTAAAAATGGAACCTGTGACTGTGACACAATTTTTGTGGATATAATAGTGTTTCTCTGCAAAGTTAAAATTTTTAGTGGGATCCATGTCTTTTTTTGCTTTTTGGTCACACCCGGTGATGCACAGGGGTTCCTCCTGGCTCTGCGCTCAGGAATCACTCCTGGCGGTGCTCAGGGGACCCTGTGGGATGCTGGGGATCAAACCCGGATTGGCCACTGTGCTATTGCCCCAGTCCTGGGCTCCATGTCTTTGATGCAGTTCACACATTGATGCTGGTGCTGCTGTTTGAGTTAATCAAGCCACATCCAGGTGTGTGCCACAGGGCCACACACCGGCTGGCAGTGTGTTAAACCATGTCAAAGTATGTAACACAGCATGTTACATACCAGGTGCCTGCGAACTGGTTTCCTGGAACAGTCTGCCCCTATGCTTCCAGGTAGAAGCTTTGATGGTGGAAAATGTGTTGGTTAGTAGAAGAGTTCAGAAGTAGGTTCAGGAGAGCTGGTAAATCTTTCCCTCCTGTGTCTTTATTTATTTAGTCTTGCTTTTTGGGGGGTCACACCCGGCGATGCCCAGGGGTTCCTCCTGGCTCTGCACTCAGGAATCACTCCTGGCAGTGCTCAGGGGACCATATGGGATGCTGGGAATCGAACTCGTTTTGGCTGTGTGAAAGACAGAAGCCCTCCCCGCTGTGCTGTCGCTCCAGCCCCAGCCTCCTGCGTCTTTAGATGAGAGCATCTGATGGGCGTGCCCCACCTGCCTCTCTCTCTTTTGCAGTTTCATTCATAAAATGAACACGGCCGAGTTTAAGAGTGCGACGTTCCCCAATGCAGGACCCAGACACCTGTTGGACGACAGCGTCATGGAGCCCCACGCCCCATCCAGGGGCCACGCGGAGAGCTCTACACTGTCCAGCGGCATCTCCATCGGTGAGACGCCCCGCGGCCCCCTGACCCCACTCAGGTCCGGAGCCCTTTCTCAGCCCAAGCGGGCAGCTCCACACTTGTAACCCCAAAGTTCAGAACTCAGACTTTTTTTTTTCTTTTTTGGGTCACACCCGGGGTTGCACAGAGGTTCCTCCTGGCTCTGCACTCAGAATTACTCCTAGCGGTGCTTGGGGGACCCTATGGGATGCCAGGGATCAAACCTGGGTCGGCCAGGTGCAAGGCCAACGCCCTCCCCGCTGTGCTATCACTCCGGCCCTTAGAACTCAGACGTTTTTAAGAATGCTTTTAGCATCAGTCTCCATCATGGGGGCCTCGGGGGACCAACGAGAAAGGAGTGTAGGTGCTTCAGGGGTGTCTGCATGTGGCTTGCACAAGGGACTGCGAAGGAGGCAGTTAGGTCTGACTGGGGTTTGGACTAAGCCCGCAACTAGATGGGGGTGTTCTTGGCATGGTAGAAAGGATGAGCCGGGGGTGCAACAGGTTGGGGTGTTCGGAGATTTGAGAACTGGGGCTTTAAACGCTCTCCCCACTGTGCTGTTGCTCCAGCCCCAAGTTTTTTTAAGCACAGAGAATTTTGGGGGCGGGGGGAAATGTTCTCTTGTTTCGGTGTGTTTCAGTGTCTTGAGGATGAGCTCGTGGTAGGCTGCTCAGCCACTTCCTAGCTGCGATGCTATGGGGTCATGTGCCACATGTGGGAAGTGTGTGTGGGGGGGGTACCAGGGAACGAACTCCACTGCACCCTCAGTTACTGACACATCCTCTAGCCCGGAGAAGCTTGTAAGTATTAGATTCCATCTGTAGCTCTGGTGTCTAAAAATACGAATGACTCTTAATTTTAGGAAGCAGTGATGGCTCTGAGCTAAGTGAAGAGACCTCCTGGCCTGCCTTTGAGAGGTAAGAGAACTTGCCCACGGCTTTGGCTTTAGGTTGTGTCAGAGTATGCAACATCAAGTCTAAGTCTACGTATCTCCAAGAGATTGTTCGGGATAGAAATGATTGATATAATTAAGTACAGCCGACCCCTCGAATCTTAAATGTCAATACTGGTGGAGTTGAAAATATTTAGTTCTCTAACCTCATACTAGTCACTCGATAGGGAGTGGTTATCCTATCTATACATTGGAGTTAAGCCATATTTGGATTGCTTAATTTCCCGCTGGTTGGCTGAAAATGAGTCCTCGTTCTTGGTGAAATTTCATAAAGCCTTCATCTTTCTGTGATTAAGATTTTGTTTGTTACGCCTTGTTCTTTTCAAAGTAACATTGATGCTTTCTGCTCCAAATTGTCAGTGTTCCCCAGTTTTGTTCACTAGTTAGGGAGATCCTTGACTTGTTTTTACAGATTATTTACCTTTCAGCTTTCCCTGTCATCTCTTTTTTCCTGAATCAGGAAAAACTCAAGAGTTTACCTCTGACAGACTCTGAATTTATACAGATTGCTTTAGTTCTTAGAAGAGCATAATGCCACCGAGTGTTGGTTTGAGAGGCTATTAAAATCTTACACAAAAACTATGGGATTTGGGGCAGGAGAGTTAGTACAGCAGGGAGGGCGCTTGCGTTGTGCATGACCAACCCAGTTTCCATCCCTAGCACCCCAGATGGTCTCCTGAGCCTGCCACGAGTGATCCCGGAGCACAGAGCCAGGAGTAACCTCTGAACATCACCAGATGTGCCAAACCCTCTCCCCTTTTTTTTTTTACATGAGTAAATAGGGCCAGAACCCTGGGAGCAATGGTACAGTAGGTCGAGCACTCAACTGTATGCAGCAGACCCAGGTTCAATCCCCAGCACCCAGTATGGTCCCCCAAACCCTGCCAGAAGTAAGCTCTAAGCACACCCAGGTGTGGCCACAGAACAGAACAAAAAAATGAGTAATCAGGATGGTGCTGTGCTAATCATTTTTGCTCACCCCTGGGGGCTGCTTATGAGACGCGTTTTAATGATGTTCCTTCACATCTCAAAACAATGCTTTCTTTTAGAACAAATGTTTTGTTTGCTTTGCAGACATTTGTAGCTAAAAATAGCTGCTGTCCTTTTGCCAGGTTTACGTCAGTGACATCAGTGACATTTTGAGTGTAAATTCGTGCTGTTCAGTGAGATTCATACATGAAGTAGGAAAGAGTAAACCAAAAGCAAAAGCCTAAGATTTAAAATACCATCTGGATATCAAACCTCAAAATTGTACTCTGGATAAATATACCATTTTTTTGTCCTTCTGTTGATATTTAAAGAGATACTTTCTGTTCATGTACATTTATTAACAGGGCTACCTTACTGGCTTTTCCCAGGCAAAGGAAGTATCGTGTGTGTGTGTGTGTGTGTGTGTGTGTGTGTGTGTGTGTGTGTCCTTTGAGAAATCCTTTTTTTTTTTTTTGCTATTTGGGTCACACCCAACAATGCTCAGGAGTTACTCTTGGCTCTACATCTCAGGACTTACTCCTGGCGGTCCTCAGGGGACCCTATGGGATGCCGAGAATCGAACCCGGGTCAGCTGTGTGCAAGGCAGACGCCCTACCTGCTGTACTATCGCTCCGCCCTTAGAAATATTCTTTACCATTTTATGTAGGCATATTAACTATGCATGTTCATCCTTTATTGACTTTATCACTCATTCATTGCAATTGCTGTGGGAGTGAAAGAATACCTGTGTCTATGTCTGTGCCTCAGTGGAACTCTTTGGTTGTCCTTTATGTAAAAGCTAGAGAGGTCGAATGGAGATGGGGCCGCAGTGTGGGGGCTCACAGCTGTGAGGCCCAAGGTGGAATCCCCAGCACAGCAGCAAAAGGAAAAGTAAAGTCAACGAAAGATCCAGCGGGCAAGAACGTGGTTAGGCCATGTTCATTTTGCATCTACAAGCAACAGTTCTTTGAGGGGTCTTCCTGGGGACAGTGAAAATGAGTTGCTTCTGTGAATCCAGCCATCCTGAAACGAATCCAAGAACTGGAAGAGAAACAAGGATTTCTCAAATATTTTTCAGTCTTCCCTGTTACTTAATTATAGATAGCTTTCAAGTTATTTTCACAGATTTGAGACACAGCATGAATGTACAAATGTGTGGTAGGTAGGGACAAAACACCTAGAATAGTATTTCTAGAGTCAACAGTAGGGAAAAAAATTTGTAAACCTAGGCTGTGTGCTTCAAAATTAGAGACAGTCATCCACTGTCTGTTGATGGTGTGTGGAAAGCTGTCCACAGTGGCTGTGCTGTTCTAGGTGTTGCTGATGCTCGTGTGGGTGAAAGTATATGTAATGTATACAATTTATACTGGACTCCGACAGGAGCAGATTATACCATTCTCTGGGCCCGGTGACAAGAGTGGCACGAAATGGCTATCGGAGCCACCTGAAGGCCAGCAGGTACCACCCCCTGCGTTCAGGGGTCACACACTTCCCCTCTGGTGTTGGTGATCGGCTTCCGTGGGTATGGGTTCCCATCGTTTCTGCTCTCTCTCACCTAATTGATTGGAAAGTAAAAGATGCCTGGGGAAATCTGACTTCTCAGATGAAACCTAGAGATACTTGGGAACCCCTCTCTCCCTCCCACACACCTAACCCTGAAGGACTGCAGCTTCATGTCACGTTTGAAAGATAATCCCGAAGTCAGGGACTCTGCAACTGCATGGGTCGTTCTCAGAACTGCAGCGCTGCTTGGCTCCAGCAGTCCCCAAACCTGCTTGTTATTCCAAGGCTGCAGTCGAAGCATTTACTTGGCTGAAACTTTATTTATTTTTTTTTTTTTATGTCTTTTCCGATCAGCTGTAGATCCTGAATGTAGAACGGTCTTGTTTGATTCAGTAATGTTCAAACTCACGTTCGTCTTAGTTGAACTGAGTCTCTGCACGATGCCGAATGCAGACTCGGGTCGGGGAGGGGATCGGGAACCGGAAGTCAGTGTTGGCACCTAATCAGCCAGCACACCAGGAAACAGAACTGCACACCTCCAAAGTAAACCCTTTGTCGGTTTGGTGGTGTCTGGCCTTCTCGTCTCTACCTCCCCGAATATGAAACCGTCTGTTGAAGTTTCTGGTGTTGGCCAGATATTTTGAGTTACTTTCGAAGACGCCTAAATAATCTTAAAGGCACAAACTGGTATCGATTCCAGTTTTCTTGGATTTTTCGGAGTTCTGCGGCTCATGCCAGATCACCAAAGGATGGCCAGTGTCTGTGTTTTCACTACCGTGGAATCATTCTCGCTTTAAATGCAGAGCCTTAAATCACTGGGCGAAGGTAGTTAAATGCCTGGTTATCTTGTGATTGTTTTCTTTACGTGAAGAGGAAATCTGCTTTCGAGTTCTTTCTTGGAGAGCTGCTGGCCGATTATCACACGGACAGCCTCTCACTGTCTCTCAGTTACCACAGAAAGCTGGGGAGTTGATATTTTTAATTCTTACGCTGTTGTTCCTGCCTTCTTTAGGATTAAGTTAAGCATGGGTTTTCTTTTTGTTTTCTGAGCTGCTGCTATTTTTATTTCAAGTTTTTTATGCTTAAGTACTTTTAACAAACAGAACCCTCATCTTTCCTACCAGGACTTAAAGTATTTCATGGAAATAAAGTTGACAGCAGAGATGCAGTGTCGCATGTACAGAAGAGAAAAGACTTAAATCCTTACTTTTTAATCTTTACTAAAGTAAATCACTGCATTTCTGTATCACATGTGATCGAAAGAACATGTCAATCACCTGACTTTAATAACTTCCTGATTATCTTTTATGACAGCTAATAAATTTCAGATCAATGGACCTTTATAAATTGTCATTATCTTCTCATTCTGCACAAAATGACATTTTAAAAATTCAGAGTAATTGCATTTTCCTGAAGTGCCTACTCGATAAATACTGCAGGAAAAAAACACTCTCTTTGGCCTTTTTTCATTATTCCAGTTCTGCCGAATCCGAAGATCTGGCCGTACACTTATATCCGGGAGCCGTCACTATTCAAGGTGTCCTCAGGAGGAAAACGCTGCTAAAAGAAGGCAAAAAGCCTACGGTATGATTTGATAATATATCTTACATTATTAAAAGCTCTCCAGGGAGCTGGAGTGATAGCACAGCAGATAGGGCGTTTGCCTTGCATGTACCACCTGGGTTCAATTCCCAGCATCCCATATGGTCCCCTGAGCACTGCCAGGAGTAATTCCTGAGTGTAGAGCCAGGAACAACCCCTGTGCATCGTCGGGTGTGACCCAAAAAGCAAAAAATAATAATAATAAAATATCTCCAGTAATGGGCTTGAATGATAGAACAGTGGTAGGGCGTTTGCCTTGCGCGCAGCCGGCCCAGCCGGAGCCGGGTTCAATTCCTCTATCCCTCTCGGAGAGCCTGGAAAGCTCCCCATGACGTATTCAATATGCCAAACACAGTAACAACAAGTCTCACGATGGAGACGTTACTGGGCCCGCTTGAGCAAATCGATGAACAATGGGAGGACCGTGACCGTGATCTCCGGTAATACCAACTATATCCAGGACTTGAAATGGGTTAAAATACCCGTTTGCCTGGTAATGTTCCCTCACTGAACGTGTCTTCCTACCTGCCACGTGGATTTCAGTTCCTCATATGCCAACGCTTCTTGTGGCTCCCAGAGCTCTTGGGAAAGTGCAGGAACTGTAGGGCTGGGCCCGGGGCTGGTCTACAGAGGCTCCGAGGGAGGGCAGGGGCGGTAGTAGCAGCCAAGAGCCCCAGTGGTGGGGCAGAGGTGTCCTGTGGGGAACGGCCTGCGGCTCTGGGGACAGTAAGGCCGAGCACATTAGAGTGTGCCTGTCTGTCTCTCCAGGTAGCGTCGTGGACAAAATACTGGGCAGCTTTATGCGGGACACAACTTTTTTACTATGCTGCCAAGTCTCTCAAGGCCACCGAAAGGAAACACGTAAGTTTCTTCCCATCTCTGTGTGTCTCCTCGGGACCGGTCAAAAAAGTGGTCCTGGAGGGGTGGTCTTGGTGGGCTGCTGCCAGGATACAGACCTGGGTCCAGAAGTGGCTGGGTCCCTCTTTGGGCCCATTGTTAGGGGATTCCCCGGGCAGGCCTGGAATAGCTTCTGTCACTCAGAGTTCTCCTTTGAATGCCATTTTCCCAGTATACATGCCAAAGCTACACCTCACGTTGTATCTGTCATGGCACCAGTTGAGGAAATGTGAACTTTTAAAACGGTGCCCGAAATTTGAAGTTTCGTCTTCATCGGTCTCTGACAGCCCTGTGGAAGGGAGACCATCCCGAGCGTGGCTGGCGGTTCAATTCTGCTTTATCTCTGAGGGACTTACATGAAGCCTCATGAGGTTCTGGGCTTCCAATGCACGCTGTCCTCTGAGATGTTTTTTGGTTTATCACAGAGTTTTCTTCGTATATGTCAGTCTTTGAAGGGAAGATTCATTTTCCATGTTGCGTTAAAAAAATTGCTTTGAGAGGGATTTGATTCCTCAGTCACCATGCTGAGGACAGGAGGTGTCAGTAAGTCACTTTCTCCTCAGAAAGCTGCCACAGGGCCCTGCATAGGTCAGAGAAGCCTGACTTCATTATCCCGGGCCTGGCCCTGGGAGCAGATGGGTGCTGGGACATCATAAGGGTGTCTAGACGTGGATTCCCTGCAATTTTTGGTCATTTTTTAGGTAGAGTTGTAGGATTGTGTCTGGTCTAATTGACTAGACTGTAGCACTGTAGCACTGTCCTCCCGTTGTTCATAGATTTGCTCGAGCGGGCACCAGGAATGACTCAGAACAAATTGTGAGACTTGTTACTGTTTTGGGCATATCAGATATGTCACTGGGAGCTTGCCAGACTTTGCCGGGCAATATTGCACTTTCAGAGATTTGCTTCACTGGAACTTTTTTTTTTTTTTGTGATTCAATAAAACTTTTTTTTTTTTAATTTTTAATAGTGAGACATCATGAGGTACAGTAGCAGACTTACACATTTTTGTGCTTGGGTTTCAGTTATACAATGATCAAATACCCATCCCTCCACCGGTGCCCATTTCCCACCACCACGGGTCCCAGTATCCGTCCCACCCCCCATCCCCCCATCCCACCCTGCCTCTGTGGCAGGGCATTCCCTCTTGTTCTCTCTCTCTCATTGGGTTTTGACTTCACTGGAACATTTTGAAGTGTAATTTCCTCACCTTGGTATTGTTATACAGGGATGGAAGGTAATGGATCACCTGACATACTTGCTCTTCAGATAAGGTTAACCGTCCTGAGGCCACTTTGAAATTCTTAGCTGGATTTATTTCACTCGATCAACCTGTGAAGAAACAGTATTCGAAATAAGGGGTTTTTCGGTTTTATCCTGACTTTAATTAAAAGCCAAGTTAGATCATTAACAGCTTTAGTTTTTTATCTGATGAAGATGTTTAATATCCTTTCATATGGCATTACTGCTGCTGTCTGCATAAGGGGCATTAATAGCATGATGCGGATTTTTAATAATGAGGGGTTTGGGGGTTTTTGTTGCTCATGGCTTATTCCTGGCCTCACGCTCAGGGATCACTCTCGGTAGGGCTCAGGGGACCATATGAAGTGCCAGGGATCGGATCCAAGTCAGCCTTGTGCAAGCAAGCACCCCATACACTGTGCTGTCGCTCCAGCCCCTAAATGATGAGTTTTTTTGATAGATGATGCATGTGATACATTTAGAAATTAAAACACTGAGTTGTGAGGAAATCAGATTTTGAGTGCCAAGGAAATGGACTGTGTACTTCGTCACTTGTAGTTAAAACTTCCGAGATTCAAGACAGGGTTACAACAGAAAGGGTACAGAGACAAGTATATTTTATATTTTATTATCACTAAAAGAATACAAGGAGAGAAGGTGCTAAAAGATCTAAGGCATAGAACTCAAGGCAGTGGGGGCAGTATGTTTTAATTTTTGGACAAACGCAGATTACAATCAAACTGGAATAAAATACTTGACTGTATATAAACAAGAGATAAAGGATCCAAATTGATCTAAACAGTACCACCAATTTGAGTGTCCTGGCCAAACATTGAACCTGAATTTAATCATGGTGAAATTAATCTAAATCGAATCCAGATTGTGGAGCGTTCTCTCCGACAACTGGCTTGTCTCCTGAAAGCCAGGCGTTGGCAGATGAACAAGTGTTGGGGGACAAGACAGCTGTTCCCCATTACAAGGGGCTGAGGAGTCTGAGCACTGAATGAATATATGGACACACCTTGGTTGAATCCTGCACTTTTTTTGGTTTTTGTTTTTGGAGGTTTTTTTGGTTTGTTTGGTTTTGGGTTTTTTGTTATTTATTTATTTATTTTTTTTTGCTTTTTGGGTCACACCTGGCGATGCACAGGGGTTCCTCCTGACTCTGCACTCAGGAATTACTCCTGGCGGTGCTCGAGGGACCCTAGGGGATGCTGGGAATTAAACCCAGATCAGCCATGTGCAAGGCAAACACCGTACCCGCTGTGCTATCACTCCAACCCCAGAATCCTGCAAGTTTTAAAAAAAGCTGTCAAAGTCACAGTGAGGCGTGGCTCAGTGGTCGAGACCGACATTGTACGTGTGATTTCGATTTCCGCCACCTCAGGGTTCCCCAAGCACTACCAGAGGGAAGAACCCCTCAAAAAGAAAGCAGTAAAGCTACACAGATAGATCATGATTACGACAGTGGGAGGAATTTGAAAATGGACGTTCTGTGATTGTGTCAATGAACTTTCTTAGATACGAGGGCGGGGGTGACTCAGAGGAGCATTTTCTGCATTTCGGTGCACCCAGCGATTCTCAGGGGTTACTCCTGTTTCATGCACTCAGGAATTACTCCTGGCGGTGCTCGAGGGACCCTATGGGATGCTGGGAATCGAACCCGGGTCGGCTGCGTGCAAGGCAAACGCCCTACCCGCTGCCCTACCCACTGTGCTATCGCTCCAGCCCCAGGAATCTATTCTTAAAAGATACCACTGAAGTATTTAGGATTTTGTGGTACATTGTTTGGCAACTTATATTTAAATATTCAGAGTGAGTAGCAAATGCAAAGATAGGCCATCGGTGTGGTGGGAGATGGTAGCATAGCATGAACTTTCTTCAGACCAGATGCCACAGGAGGGGGACTGCATCTGAGGCCAGCACACACAGGCGGGGGGCCCACACAGACCGCATGAAGGGGGACCCTCCCGTCTGGAGAACCTGAGCACACCCAGACATGAGCTTTGCTGGGGATGCGCCGTCGGTTTTATTTCTGGCACTTTCCTCTTCTCTCTCGCAGTTCAAGTCCACCTCCAGCAAGAACGTGTCCGTGGTGGGCTGGATGGTGATGATGGCTGACGACCCAGAGCACCCGGATCTCTTCTTGCTGACCGACTCTGAGAGGGGTGAGTCCTCGGAGCAACGGGGTGCAAGGTTCCCTGGGGTGCCTGCCCTTGGGGTTCTTGTCAGGAACAGCTTCTTGCCGTGTGATCCGGCATAATCATACTCATTGGTCTCTTTCGATCTTGCTTTCCTGGCTGTCCTGGGCCTAAAAGCAGAGAGTAAAAGCCCCAGGAGTCCCAGAAGAGTTTGTTCAGCAGGAAGGGAGGTGAGGATGGAGAGAATTGAAACTCTTGAGGCCACAGTTGGTTCAGAATCTTCTCTCTGGGCCATGGGATGTCTCAGGGGGCCCAGGCTGGAGCCCTGACTGTGATCCCTCCAGCACCTCCAGGAGTGAAGCCTGAGCCAGGAGCTGCCCTTGAGCACCACAGCGTGTAGCTCTCCCGGTTGAAGATCTTAGATTTGCCATCGCACAGTCACCCCTTGTGGGTGCCTTGAAACTGTCATTCTCAATTTTCTGTCAGCAGAGTTTTCATTGCATGATTATTACTATTCAGTGGAAAACCTCTTTTTGTTTTTTGGTCCCAAAACAATTTAGAAAACACTTAAGGAGCTAAGTACATTACCTAACCTTAGTTCCTAAGCAGCCCAGCAATGGCTTCCTAAATAAACAACTGCATGTGACTATAAGGTAGAGAAAACGCTTTTATGTGTGTGGACCATCTGGTGTTGGAGGGAAGGAATTCTCTCTCTTTTACTTATTTTTTTTACATTAAAAAAAATATCAACACCAATTCCACCCACTGTTACACCTTCCCACCACCATTATTTCTAATTTTCCCACTACCACCAAGCCTGCCCCAAAGGCAGCTGCTGAATCATTTATTTTGTATTGCTTGTTCTGAATAATTGACTAAAAATGATCCAAAAAGGTTTCCTTAGAGGAAAGTGTGTGAAAATCGTTATATCCCATCTTGGAACCACTAAGCCCCTGTATTAGAGATCACTAACATGTTGGATGGTGATGTGGGGGCCAGGGGCATCTCTGCAATGCCTTGCTCTCTTCCGTTCACTTAATCACTTAACTTCCCGTTAGTCGTCGATTTGCTCGAGCGGGCGCCAGTAACGTCTCCATTAGTCCCTGTCGCGTGCTAGTGTAGCCCAATGGCGTCTGTTCGCTCTAGGAACATGAAGAGCCTCAAACCGATCGTTCAGGGTCTTGATGAAGAAGTCTGACCATCTGGTAGGTGGGCAGCCACGCGGTCTTTTGACATCCCGTGGAATCCAGTCAGTAACAGCTCTAGTCCAGCGGTCGTCTTTAAATCTCATTACGTGACCAGCCCATCTGATTTTCGACACCTTGGCAAATGAGACAGCGTCCCTGATCCTTGATCGTCGACGGATGTCAGAACTCCGGATTCGTTCTCTCATTTGAGTGAAACGTGATATTCCAAGCATAGCTCTTTCTATTCTTCTTTGGGAGACCCGAATAGCGTTCTCATCCTGTTTGCGTAGGGCCCAGGTCTCTGAGGCATATGTTAATGCAGGAAGAACAGTGGAATCAAAGAGATGTGCCCGGAGCCAGAGGTTCTTTGTCCTCTTAGCTATTTCTTCGACGTTCTTGAAGGCGTTCCAAGCCGCTCTCTTCCTCCTGCGCAGCTCGGGTGCCAGGTCATTTGTCATGTTGACCTCTTGACCTAGGTACACATAGCTGTTGCATTCGGAGATGGTCGTTCAGTTGAGAGCGAATGGGACATCAGGAACGAGGCTGTTTCTCATAAACATTGTCTTCGTAAGATTCAGCTGTAGTCCTACCTTTCCACACTCACGGTCAAAGTCAGCCAGCATTTGTGCCACTTGGCCGATGTTTGGTGTTATTAAAACAATGTCATCAGCAAAGCGGAGGTGGTGTAGTTGCCGACCATCTATCTTCACTCCCATTCCTTCCCATTCCAGTCGTCGCATGATGTTCTCGAGGGTGGCACTGAAGAGTTTCGGTGAAATGGTATCACCCTGCCGCACCCCTCTCTTGACATCAACGATCACTTCTTTGTAGAATGGTGAGATCCTGGTAGTGAATCCGCAATCCAGCTCATGGAGGATCCTGATGTATTGGGCTTGAATGCCCTGATTGGCTAGGGCTTCAGTGACCGCTTCTGTCTCAACAGAATCAAAGGCTTTCTTTAAATCAATGAACGTTAAACAGAGCGGCATCTTGAACTCCCGAGAAACCTCAATGAGCTTGGTTATCGTGTGGATATGGTCGATGGTGCTGAATCTTTTGTGGAACCCGGCTTGCTCGTATGGTTGTCCTTCATCTAGTGTTCTGCCAATCCTATTTAGGATGACTCGAGTGAACAACTTGTAGATGACAGACAATAGGCAGATTGGGCGATAGTTGCCAATGTCATGGATGTCTCCCTTCTTGAACAGTAGTACGGTCCTGCTGGTTTTCCATTGGGACGGAACCTTGCATTCAGACAGGTAGCAAGTGAAGAGCCGAGCCAGTGTATTGATGAGTACTGATGGCAGGTTCTTCAGGTGTTCAGGTCTGACCTTGTCTGGGCCGGGTGCTGTTCGTTTCTTTACTGACGAAATGGCGTGTCAGATTTCGGAAGGGAGAACGTTGGGAACGACATACCCATCCTGTAGAATTTGGTATGTCGGCAAGTGGACATGGCTATCGAAGAGATTTGAGTAGAAGTCATGGATAATCTTCTCCATTGCCGTTCTGGAGGATGTGATGGATCCGTCAGGACATCGGAGGGCAGTCATCTTGGTCTTATAGTTGGCGAAGGACAGGCGGGCGTTACGAATATTTTTCCCGGCTTCTGCTGCATCTACCAGCACTTCTGCTCTTCTCTCTTTGAGGTCTTCCTTGATCGCATCTCTGCACTGCTTTGTGAGCTCGGACATTAGCTTGCGGTTGCCTGAGGCATGTGCCAAACCACGCTGGCGAATAAGCTCAAGAGTTTTCGAAGACAGGCGTTTTTTTGTGGCTATCTCTCTCTTGGCGTTCCTCGCACAATCGTGGAGGTGCTGAACCAGTCAATCATATTCCTCGTCAATGTTGTCAACAATGGCATCTTCCCATGTTGCTGCAATAGTGCCAAAGAGCTCCCAGTTGGTGGTCGTTCTGGGAGTTCTCTTTTTGAACTTTGCAGCCCTTTCTCCCCGCTCCGTGAAGTAGAATTTTGCACGAAGGAGACGGTGGTCCAATCCCATTTGGAATTTTGGGACAACAGCGACATCGGTCAGGCAAAACCATCAATTGAATATGATGTGGTCTATTTCGTTGTGGAATTGTCCACCGGGAGACTCTTCCATTAATGCACTTAAATGGCGCCCAGAGCCAGTTCATGGGCCTGACTACCAGGAAACCAGAAGCACAGGGAGATGGGAGGAGGGGGCCCATTCTCCACTTCAGCGAGCCTGGAAATTTCAGTCACAAGTCCCACAACCTGGGGTTTCCAGTGGATTCAATCTCATGGTGGTAGTCGGGGGGAGGGACGGGCCTGTGACGGTCAGCTGTGAGTGTGGTGACGATTAGGTTCTGTGACTGCCAGGGTTCTTTTCGGGCAGGCGGAGGGGCACATCTGGTCCCCTCCAAAGTGCCCAGATGGAATAAACCTGGCACAGGGTGGGGAGACATTATCTGCATGTTGCTCTCTTCCGAGATTCACTGAAGGAATTCTCTTGTGTTCTGTTTGCTCTCTGATGGCTGCAGGGTGACTGTCCGAATCACTACCCTTTTATTCCTTTCCCTCCTTTTATCATCGCAGGAAACTCATACAAGTTCCAAGCTGGCAACAGGATGAACGCGATGCTGTGGTTCAAGCATCTGAGTGCGGCTTGCCACAGCAACCAGCAGCAGGTGGGCCCTCCTCTCCGCCACAACATCACGGTCCCCAAGTCAGTGGCCAGCTTTGCTGAATGAACTGCTGAGATGATGTTGGGTTCATTTGTCTTGTGACAGACGCACTCGCGGTCACTCCCGGCAGTGCTGGACACCCACCCCTAGGCCTCCCACTGCCAAGCCTGCAGCCCAACCCTCTGTCCCATCTCCCCAGCCCTGAGTAGTTGTAACCAGGCCTGACAGTTATACTGCAAACACCTGGATGTGTGATGTATAGTCAGTTATGCTGATATTGTCAGTTTTTCAGGAACCTGCGCTTGCAGGAGTTTTGGGGAGTTCTTGTTTCTGTGTTTTGTGGTTTAAGCTTTCAGAAAGAGGTTGTTATAAAGCATAGGGGCTGATAAGGTTTTTAGAATCCAGGGGACAAGCTGATAGTGTGTGACTGCATGTCAGCACAACTTGGGAGAACTGGTAGAAAAGACAGGGAGTGTTTTTTAGTCCTTGCCTGGAGAACTGTCAACTTGCTTCTAAAAAAAAAAAAATCTTACTCATAGGTCAAAGAATTACTGCACTGTCTATTTCAACTCAAACTTAGAAGAAATCCAATTAAACTTCCTCAGATATACAAACAGGAAACTATTAATTTTTCAATCACAAGGCTTATCAGAATTTATCTAGTCCATTTTATTTCACACATTTCAGTGATAATTTCAAAGTGAAAATCTTAGTAATGTTTGTAATGAAATTTATCTGTGTTGAATTAAAAACTTAGGGGACTCATTGTACTATATACACGGAAGGAATCCCACGATAAGAACAATGGGAAGGGTGTTTGTTCGCTTAGAATCCTGCCCTGGACCCATATCATCTCCTCGATTCATCTTTCCACCCAGTGACTGTCCAGAGAGCCCACAGACTTAGGCAGGGAAAAAAAAAAGTGCTGGGGGCCAGGGAGAGAATAGGGGGTTAAAACACTTCGCCTTGCACGCTGGACCCCTGGTTCAATCCTCAGCATCATAAACGGTCCACTGAGCACCACCAGGAGTGATCCCTGAGCACTACCGACTGTGGCCCCCAGTTTTCTTTTTTTTTTAAAGGCAAAGCTGTCTTCATACTTTCTCCCATCCAGATCTCACTGAGCGCTGAAGAGCGACAGCCTCTCAGGATGTTCCAGTGCATTGTGTTGGTTATTTCTAAAGGCTGGCAGTGCTGCCAGCAGGTTCTTTTATTCTGTAAATGTTTTTTCTGTCAAAATGTTAAAATATTGGGACTTGTTCAAACAAGGAAAGCTCAGAATGCTCTGAGAAATGTCTGACCGTGTCCCTTTTTGGTTTTGTTTTTCTGTTTTTCTTTTTGGGTCACACCCAGTAGTGCTTGGGGGTTAGTCCTGACTCTGCACTCAGTAATCACACTTGGCAGTGTTCAGGGGACCCTCTGGGATGCCGGGATTGAACCCGGGTCGGCCCTGTGCAAGGCTAACGCCCTACCTGACCGTGTCCGTTTTCAACGCTCTGTTTTCTAGGCTCCCACAAACTTGATGACTTTTGAGTAAGAACCTCAGAAGGAAGGAGGTGGCCAACTGCCCCCCCAAGGAGGGCGGGTGGGTGCCGGCCGGAAGAGCGCCAGCTACGAAGCAAAGCAGCCGTGTGCCAGGGAGAGCCCAAGGTGCCCGCTCCGCCTTCGAGTTGGGATCCAGAAACAGCGCTCATTTCCGGGAACGACGCGTGCTCTTTCCGGAGAACACATTGGAGTCTGCAGAACAAACTGCCGTGGCCCGTGCTTCTTATCTCTGAACTGACCTGTGGAAACCACTGCCTTAAAGAATGAAAGGAAACCCACCTAAACACCAAATAGTGTGCGTGCGTCTCTGGCGGTGCTCTGCGTGCACTCGAGCGCGGCCAAGCCGCGTTCCCTTTAACTTGGTACTCGTTGGGGGGGGGGGGGGGGGGGGGGGGTTGTTTTTTGGGTTTTTTTTCTTTTTTCTCAGATACACTTGAATGTGTGGAGACACATTTTTCTTACGGCTTGCACCAGGAGCTGGTTTGGAGGTGCAGCGATGCCTTGCCTTCAGAGGAGACCCCCATCCACCTCTTGACAGGGGTGCATGGCCCCCGCTTCCCTCGCAAGCGTGCAGGGACTAGCAGTTTTCTTGGCAGGGGCGCGGGGTTTGGGATGGGGGTTTGTTTGGACACTAACCTTCCGAAACTTAGTACTGTACTGGATGGGAACTTAGCTTCCTGCTGGATATGGAAGACAGCGTGCTTGTGTGCGTGCATGCGTACGTGTGTGTGTGGTGTGTGTCTGTCTATCTGATACGTTCTTCCAGTGGGCTGCGGGAACGCGGCAGCTTGTCCTGGCTGCCCAGGTGGTGAATTCCTTCTGAGTTTGTTGGTACGCCCCCCCCCACCCCCCGCCCAACCTCCCTCTATGTATGGCAGAAACTATGATTCTTACCACAGCTGAGCAGCTTGTCCAAGATTTCCGTTCTCCGGGTGTACCGGCCGCTCCCTGCTACCTGCCCCCATGACCATTTGCGTCAGGGTGACCAGGCACTCTGTCGGGAACTGCTTTCAGTGTTGTGTCCCAGTGGTCCCTTCCTCATTTGCTTTGCTGGCCCGCGTGAAGGCCAGGCTGCGTTGGGGGTACTACAAAGGACACAGCCCCTTGAAAGGGGAAAGATTCTGGGAGTCAGAATCAAGTTCTTTGGCAGCCAAACATTTCCCTGAGAATGTCTCACAGCAGGGGATGCTCTGGCTCCGGCTTTGTGGCTGTCCTGAGTCTCGTCCCCGCCCAGTACTGAGCTAACCCCAGGCGAGGGGGGTCACTGGACACCTTCTCTGGGCCCCTCCGTGCTTGTCTGACCAGTGTTTGCTTTCCTAAGAATATGGCTCTTTCGTTCTTTTTCCCTTGATCACATGCAGGCCCGGTAGAAGGGTTGCAGGCGAGCCGGATTTGCGTGCCCTCTGGGTGAGTGAGTGAGAGCCAAACTGGAAGGTGTGTGTAGCTGGTACCTTCTGTCCCTGACCGGAGTGGCGCTGCGCAGAAATGAAAAGCCGTGTTTGGACTTGAGCGATGTGGCCGTGTGTGTGGACCCGTGGCTTCTGACAGACTCTTGACAGAACCACAGTTAAAATCACTGCTGTTGCCCAGTCTTCGCATTTGTTTGTTCAAAAGATTCCTCGGTGCTTTTATAAGGCCGTTTGAGCAGATGCCAACCAGTGAGAAGAGTATCAATGAATATTTAATAGCTCATGCACCAAATGAGTAATACGTAATAATTTTTTTTCTTAATGTTGCTCATGGGTGGACTTGGGGTGTGGGTGTGGAAGATTCATGGGCTGGAGAGGGGTTGGATGTGGTGAGCAAGGAAAGAGGGAGCCGCTGCTTGGGCGAGCAGTAGGGGAACTGTGATCATCTGAGCCCTCATCCGGGGAACTGTGATCATCTGAGCCCTCATCTGGGGAACTGTGATCATCTGAGCCCTCATCTGGGGAACTGTGATCATCTGAGCCCTCATCCGGGGAACTGCGGTGGAATTTTGTTTTCATTAACAAATGGGTAAGCCTGACTAAATAGCATGTTGGGCCATGACTATATGTCAGCTCGCCATTTTCGAGCACAAAATGGCCTGTTCCCACAGGAGATCCCCAGGCAGAAAGGGGGCCCAGTGTTGTATATCCAGTGGATCTAGAGAAACCATCAAAACATCCGAGCGTCTTTCTACAATCCTCTCTTGACAGCCGAAATGCTGTACAGTTGGAAAAGCTCAGGGATTTTCTCCAGTGGCAACTGCTTCCCATCACCAGGAAGTGATCCAGAGTCTTCATTGAGTCCTTCTGGTTTTTTCTCTGACATTTTCACTCCAGAACTCTCTGGCGTTTCTGAGTGGCTAATGTTTCATCATTTTGTCATCTGACTGAAGAGTCGTGTCGACTGATTGGGAGGCCGAGGTGGTCTCTTAGGGTTGGGATGGAGTTTCGTTATGGGCCTCCTTCGGTTTTACTTCCTGTACCAATTGTTCTAGGGGCTGATCCGGAGGTGCTGGTGGGATTGTTCCATCATAGACCTCATCATCTGCATGTCCCAGGCTGCTTGTATTAAGTTGGTGAGAATAGTCACCGCCCTGACACTCAGTAACCACTTCTCAGGGCTCAGGTTCATTCCTGGAGCCCCGGAGTCTTTCTAGAACCTTTCAGGCCTTGCTTTCACTGGCCGCTCTCCCACAGCAAGCTGTGGTAGCGTACTCGCAAATGATGCAGAGAATATTGGGACCGTATCCTTTTCCCCGGAAACTAGTTCAGATCCCGTCAGCTGCTGACTCCGCTCCAAGCTGGTGCCCTGCCTGATTGAGGTGTACAAGAAAGTTGCTCGTTCTCTTGCTCTTCTCATCCCTAGAAAACAATAATAATGGTTCATCGGCGTAATAGCAGAGGTATCTAGAGCTTCGCCCGGGTCAAAAGCCCCAGTGAACCAAGTTCCAGCCACCTCAGACTTCGTGGATATCAGGGCATCCAGTCACCTGTCAAATCTTTCGAATGTCCTTCGTATTCATTCATTGTCCTGCTTGTCCGAAGCAAGAAATGCAAATCCTCCATCGTATCATTCAGACAGGTTGGATTAGGATTCCTTAATGATCTTCTGTAGTAATGATTCACGCCCAGAAAATATGTCACCTCAATATGTAGCAGAAAGGTGCAATACTTCTCCTTGTCTGAGGCCTGCTCTTACTAAATTCGTACATTGGTGATGCAGAGACTCCTCAGTTCTCTCAGCAGTAAGCTTACATGCTTCTCTTGCCGGCCGAGAAGACTCATCGGGGACTCGGCGGTGACCCCCGGGTCCCCCATCGTCACTCCCCCATCTGAGAACCTCCTGTTCGGCTCAGCACCCCCTTGGCTTTCCTTGTGTCTCCTTGTCCCCTGCAGGTGGGGACATGCGCCTTTGAGCAGGAAAGCGACCCGTTCTTCATACGTCACTTCCTGAGCACTGCTTCGGTCTCGGGCCCCCTCTGTTTCTTTCCCCACCAGACCATCAGAATTACAGTAGGACTGATGATGTGACTGGCCTGTCCTCCTTGCCTGTCCACGATGCCATGGACGGCTGTCCAGTCCAAAGGAGCTGCATTTGCAGTTCTGCGCTGTCGTCTCCACCCGCCCTCCGACCTCCACCCTTGGCGGGGACTGCTGCGGGTCAGGCCTTCGTCTGGGCCTCAAGTTAGCGTAAGTGGCTTTTCCCTTCTCGAATATGTAGGAAGGAGCCCAAAGCACTGTTGTTACGAAAAATGTTTACAGTCTCTGTGAGGTGAAACCAGGGCCTGCTGACCTCTTGGATATGGGCCGGAAGTCTTGTTTGTTCTTTTGCCGCTAGGTTTTTGAGCGCTATGCCTTTGCTACCGAAAACTGCAGGTCACTGTGTTATTTGGAACACAAGTCAGGGCTTAATCCCTTGCCTCTTTCAAAGAATATGCCCGTTAACTGACTTCCTTTCCTTAGCGGCCGTATTCTTTTACGACCCAGTTTCCAGCCACTATAATACCTGCTGCAAGGAAGGTGTTGCTTAAACAGCCTTTAATATCAGAAAACCTCTGCTTCAAAGGCTTTCAAAATCCCGGGATTCCGCTAGGAAAACGAGGATGAATCTGAACAGTCAGCGTGTGGCTGTTGCCCAAATAGACACTGCAAAGCAATGGTGAGACGGGTCAGATTTCGTCACTGACGTTTAAGAGGTTTTATTTTCTCTCTCATGTTGTCACGATCTTCCAGCCCATGTGCTATTCTCTCTCTCTCTCTCTCTCTCTCTCTCTCTCTCTCTCTCTCTCTCTCTCTCTCTGTGTCTCTCTCTGTCTCTCTCTCTCTCTCTCTCTCTCTCTCTCTCTCTCTCTCTCTCTCTCTCTCTCTCTCTGCTCTGAGATACAGGCTTCATAATCTAATCACACAAGAAGTGACTTCAGTATTTGGGGGAGATATTGCTGCTTTAAAAAACGGTTCTTTTCTGAAGTGGCCTCTGTTTGGAGGATTCTCGCGAGAGGGATCTGTGGCCAGACTCGGAGGCTTACGCAAAGCAGGCTCCTGCCAGCAGTATTTCAAAATGGGGGGCAGCTGTGGTCAGCGCCTCATCAACCAGAAAACCGACTCCAGGGCAAGTGTGGCCAGAAGCGTTTGCTCACTGAGAGCCTCCAGGTTCGAGCCCCACCCCCAGGCGAGAAGACCAAACAGAATCTCACCTGTACCAGCTCTTGGGGCATTTGCCCCGCTTGGCTGCTAGGTTATTCCCCACTTCGCTGTGGTTGGAGTTTGAACCACAGTCTTAATTGTGAGGCTTCTCAGAAGCCCCTTCAAGAATCCAGCAGGCGGGGTCAGAACGCCAGGAGGACAGCGGGGAGGGCATGGGCCTTGCACCATGCTGACGCGGGTTCGATCCCCAGCACCCCTTGCCAGGAGTAATTCCTGAGCATCACGAGGTGTCACCCAAAAACCAAAAAAACAAAAACAAACCAAAAGCGCCAAAAGAATACAACTAGCCAGACAGAGTTTTGGAGCTTTGTGAAAACTACTGAAACGTTGTCATGAGCGTCCCCTTATCCAGAAGTGAGATTGTGTTGGGCCGGTCCTACGTGGCAGTGGGACACGGAACGAAGCACCAGTCACTTAACGTCCCTGCCACTGTTTCCTTGGAAGCGCTGTGGCAGGGAAGGGCAGAACCCCTGGTAGCCTCGAGGGCGGACTGGGAAGGCTCCAGGTGAAGCTTTCGAGGCCTCGCCTGAGAGTTTTGCCAGTGGGAGCTGCTCGTCCAACCGAGTCACGATTCTTCCTGTCGTTTGGGCTAAGGGCTAGTATTTCCCAGAGATGCAGTATTTCAAACCCGGTGACGGTTCCCCTGGTCCCTGAGGGTTCTGAGCAGAATTTGAAATTTTGAATGGAGCCACCGGAACT